TTTGTTTTTAATAGTTCCCGTAGTTGGAATGCCGAGTCTAAGTCAAGTCCTATCACTGAGAGTGAGAGAACCCATTGCTGGTCTTTTTAAATCGACCAAATCAAAGCTGAGTAAACAGTGCTTTTGGTATGTCTAATTCCTCCCTAGCCAAACTCCTGCGGTTGAGTTTCACACATACCGACAAACATCTGCCGCACTCTGGGCACAAAAGATCAAGCTTGATATCCTGCACGTCGCCTGGGTCCACATCTTCCCAAGGCCCTATGGGCCCTGGTTCAAAAGTAGTGCACTATATAGGGGAAAGGGTGTCATTTGAGACTCTACCAGGGGGTTTCTTATCTCGGTTTCCACAGGGATCCACCATAACAGTTACAGACATCATTATGAGAAAACAAAGATAATTAATTCGGCTTATGACAGGGGAAAATACTGTGTGAACGAGCGGCTGCATATTGGAACATAAATCTGATGCTAACCATTAGAAGATCTACAGGAGATTGGCCCAATCTGTCAGCGCTGTCGTATATGTTATTGGAGTAACGCAAAACAGCTTTTCAAATCCCCCCATCATTTCACATTGGTGTTGAGTTTTTGCAAGCACTTTTCCTATGCAGTACACTTTTTCCAAACCCTGGTACATGACAAATATCAAATCAACAGCGCAAACTAACCACATGTATTTTAATTACTTATTCATGTATTTTAATTACAGTTTTCCTTATTCCTTGCATTCACACCGTGTCAGTGTGGGTCCTTTTCTAACAAAGGTCAAATAGTGCTTAGATTTGTCCTGTTTCACTGCAGGTACAAGTAGGTAACCTGTACAAGTGTGAGGTGTGAAATGGAAATGTGTTTTTTGCATATCCCAACTCCACCTGAGACACCCTCGTAGAGTGGGGTCACGGCCAGGGTTCAGCCATTATTCTCGGCGACCTTGGAGCAATTCGGGGATTAAGCAATTAAGTGCCTTGCTCAAGAGCAGATCGACAGATTTTCCACCTTATCGGATCGGGGATTCAAATTAGCAACCGTTCGGTTACTGGCCCAACGCTCCAATCACTAGGCTACCTGCCGCCCATATGAAAGTACTCTTGAAGGGTGACCTACTCAAGGTCTGTAACACATCTTAGTTAACACAAATACACGTGGCATCTCAGCCCAGGATAATTGTTGAGAGTGATTGGGAGCGTGCCGAGATCACAGTAGCGGTGGTCGTCCCTGCTCTCCCATGATCCCCTGTGACCTCGGTGAGGGTGCACGTCCAGGTAAGACTATGAGAAGGGTGTACAGTTTCACCTGCCTGCCATGCGGACGGTGGACCTAAACAGGTAAGAGAATAGACCTATAGAGCTTTCTCTTTCTCTTTAATTTTCTCTTCTTTTCCCCGTCTTTTCCAGAGGCTAATCTCTTCTCAGGTTTAAGGTATTCCTGGTCTGGGCTCTTTGAGGAGAAGGAAACGCGGGGCGGGTAAACATCAGGGCTCTCACTGCGGGGATTAGAGCGCCCATATATCACCGTGACAACCCTCTTTTCATGCGGTGACAGGTCGCCAGGACCCTGCGCTAGGGGGGGATCCGGTGACACTTCCTATCGCCGCGGCAGCCATTGATAGGGGATACGATCACAGTTTTCACACCGTAAGATCGGCTTACTGCGCTAGAGCGTCTCCCAACTCTCACCACCGACAACTTCAGCCAACGGCTTAAATGGTCTGAGTGTTCAGTGTTCACACATCATGGCACACATGTCAGGTATGCATCTTTGGCCAGGTAGAATAACACCATCGTAACAGGTCTGCAGAGGCACTTTGATCACAGATCTTTCCACAAAGGCGGCAGTTCATTGTCCATGACTCCATTTGTTCAGCTTGGGAGAAATCTTTACCTTAGGTAAACATAGGAATGGTTCTGCCACGCTGCATTCCAGCTGTGGGTGTTGCCTTGAATAACATGAAACCACAGTCATGGCTCCTTTCAGTAGATCAACTTTGGGTCCAAATATACATTTTCTGAAGGCCAATGAGTTGGGGATGAAGAAATTCATCATTTATATACACTTAAATGGCATGCATTTATTAATCTTTAAAGCTAAAATATTACTAAAGTTGCCATTAATATGTGCAAAAGTGTACTTATGTGGCAGTCCATTCTACTGTAGATAAATATAACTCAAATCCCAGACATTCTCAGTTCTCAATTCTCCAGTACAGACTTCAGGGTGTGTCTTGTATTCCCCAGTATGATACATACCAGAATCATTTAAATTATCTCCATTATTGTTCTTCTCTATCCCTACTTACTGTGGTTGACAATAACCATTCATTTAACAACAAAAGTGAAAACATTTAGGGAGGAACAAGAGCAGTATGCTGTTGTTGGGTCACATTACCTCACATTGCCTCCTACATAAACTACATGATATTTCCCCTTCTCATCCTCTCTAAGGACCAAGTCGATACTGAGCAAAAACAGAGAATACAACCAACCAGTAATAATCTTGTAAAGAACAAGAACATTCAGTTTGGGGGGGACTATGTAGAAATGCAAGGGGCCAAGAATAGATCCCTGAGGAATAGATCCCAAGGGGCCAAGAATAGACCCTGCATGTAATATATAAGACAGAGTCTCCTAATGCAACAAAACATTGTCTCCCAGTAAGATATCAGTTAAACCACTCCAGTATTGGTCCTTATAAATATACTACATTGCATTCAGTTTGCAGAGTATACCAGTATACAATGGAGCAATACTGAAAATGTACTCCACTATCACCAGACACCATCAGGTAATTTTGCTTGCAAGTTCCTCTTGCTGCAATAGGGGATCTATATCATTAGTAAGATAAGGGTTTCATTCCAGTCAGTGAAGATTCTTTAAAATAACAAAGCTCCTCACATTCGATTAGAGATTCTTGGGTGACATTTCACCCCTGGTTCTCCGTAGTGGAAACATTGCAGCAGTCCCAGAGAATGGCCAAATGTCTTGGCATACGAGGAAATTAAATATGACAAAATCTACACTTACAGATGTCAAAGGGGAAATCAGGCGAGTCTCCGACAATAAGAACGACAATTTTCAATATGATATTTGAGACTGTATTTACCAGAGTAGGTTTACTGATCCTTATCGAGTTCTTACAACAAGAATCCCTCTACATGACTAGCTAAAGAATTCCATCTCTAAACAACATGGAAATTCTAGAATCCCCAAAACAAAACAAGATTGCTGTTTAACATTTAATTTGGAGAGAAAAACACACAACAATCACTGACTTTCCATTCTTGTTATAATTACAGTGTCAATGTGTGTCAGTGAGGGCTTGGTTAACATAGTCATAGGCCGGTACATTTCATTTCATTTTCACACAATGGTAACCTAAGGTTTGCTCTTTGCACTAGGTCATGTAGAGTATAGGAACTCTACATGCAATCTTGGTTAGGTTTCCCAGTCATGGAGTTACAATGTCTGATTGAACAGGGCCTTGGGGATATTGTATTAAATTACAATTCATAAAATATTGTCCAGCCATTTGGGGGATATGAAAATGAAATAACACAGAAGCAATGAGTTTAAGTTGTGGATTTGCATTAACACAGATATATTTGTACATATCTGGAGGCCAGGAGGACTGAAAAAGGGAGTATTGGCAACCCTTTTTGACAAGTATGAATAAGCCCATCTGGGAAGAATTATCCTCACTATAACAGAAAACCTATCACAGTGATTTATGCAAGGTCTTAGTCGGCTGTTCCACTATCTGATAAGGATAAGCATTTTCTCATAAAACTGGAACAGGAATGACTAATTAAGAGCATCAATCTCCATAGGTCAGTGGAAGACTCTGGCATGCTGGGAATCACAGAACAAAGACCCCACATCCGATTGCACAATCAAACTCACATGTGAACTAGGTGCATTGCATGCTTCTCCGTGAAGAATACAAAGCACCTCGTTTTAATTAGATGACACATTGACGTTGTCGACACTCAAAAAAATGGAAATCCATCTACACTCCATTATTCAGGTTTAATTCCTCCTAGCTAATGCTGACAAGGCTAAAATCAAAAGAGATGGTTCAAACCTCCCTCGATCTGCCATGAACAGTGAGTTACTGCCATTGGTTTGTGATGTGTTATTGCTGCCAGGAAATTGAAGCTGTCATTTGTCCAAACAGCTCAATCTATCACAAACACGAAGCTCACTGGCATGTATATCAATTGTTGCACAACAAGATTACAACCATTACATTTTTTTGGGGGGGGCTTTTCTATTGTGAGAACATCTGGCTTTTCTATATCCTTTCCAGCTATTGCGACCTACTGTTATGGGTGACCGCAACATAGCCACTAGCCAGCAGTAATCCAATCGCTTCAGTAACACACATCCCGCCATCTCTAATCCTGTGTTAGGAGTGTTTCACATTCATATAATCATGTAAATGCTGACAGAAACACATTTCAGGTCAACCACATCAACCCTGACAACTCCAGTGAACTTTTGACATGCCAATGGGGAACCTCAAACCCCATCCAGAACAGAGCCTTCCCATGAGACACAGCTGAGGTATGTGTGCGGTAGGCAAACACTTTAATCAATGTGTGTGTGATTGTAACATGGCTTTTTCACACTTGAAGGACATCTTTATCCTCTGCATGTTTCTTTTATTAAAAACAAAACACAACATCTGTGTCTGGATGGAAAGGTTAAAAGGTTATACTCCCCCCACTAACCACCCACACACGTAAGCACAAGAACGCACACACACACACCCACACACGTAAGCACACGCACACACACACACGTCCAACATCTAACACAGACAGCACAATTAGCCTCAAGTCCAAATGCATGAGGAGACAAGACTCTAGAACAAGGACTTACACAGTTCTCATTCAGTTTTGTTTTGTTTGGCTTTTTTGAAACATGCATTCCAGGGGGGACTCTAAATGCACTTGAGCAGGACGTAAGACCAGGTATAAAAAACAAAACAAGGGGGCATACCTTTGAGTGATGAAGCTGGATGCCATAGAGTAAAATATTTCCGAGCTTGGCTCCTGTGGCGATCTCCATCATGGCCGCCGGCTCTCCTCCCATTGCCTCGCTGGCGGACGAGTCGTCATTCGACACGTTCAAATACACCTATTAAAATAAGTCCCGCCACACCCAGTCAGACATGCATCTCCTGCCAATAATGACAATCTCTTACAGAGACTTAGAGAATGTTTAAACCTTTGGATCAATTAAAGCACATTGTTCAAACACTCGTAAGAAAGACGTGCTGTGACTGAACAAGCATGTTTATTTAAGGTCCTCGTTTGGGAGGGATGTTGGAGGAGTGTGTTGTAGTGTTCGGGGTAAACACACATCAGATTGGAAAACTGCAGGCCTCATGGTGTTTATTTAGATATATGGGTCCACATTAAAGACAGCATAAACCACCACTGATGATTCACTTAGTGTGTCATGCATGGGATGTGAAATGATGTGAGTCTCCACTGCTGCTGCTAAACATATTTTCCTAATTGGGCTGTTGACTGATGCTCGACAGGGTGAATTCACTCCAATTATGTCTTCATATACAGGCTCTGTGTTGTAAGGTCAATGTCAAATGTGTTAATTAATCTGTTCTACCTTCTATTGTTCTATTATATATCATTATATGATTATAAGTCAAGCATTTCTTGAATAAGTTAAGTAAGTCACTTGTCTATCAACATCTGTTTAAATTCAAATAAGTGATATTATTGATTTGTTTTGCTGCAGTAGAAGGTGCCAGGGAGTGTGTGTCTTCAGTTTGGCTTAAGTCTAGATGAGATCAATACCAGGCACATACTGAATCGATTGCCACGCACTCTGTCTGTGAAACTCGATTATCTCCCACCCTGATTGCTAGGTCATTGTTTAAAGCTACCGACTAAGCCAGGGTTTCCCAAACTCGGTCCTCGGGACCCCAAGGGGTGCATGTTTTGTTTTTTGCCCTAGTACTACACAACTGATTCATATAATGAACTAATCATCAACTTTTGATAATTTGAATCAGCTGTGTAGTGTTAGGGCAAAAACCAAAACGTGCACCCCTTGAGATCTCGAGAACCGAGTTTGGGAAACGCTTGACTAAGCCCTCAAGAAAGAACAACATGTGCCATCTAACGCCACCCAGATATCCCTCACTGTTGATTTTAGCGTCCTCGATTAAGACCGGGAAATTCTGAGATCGCTCTGTGAGCCAACTCTTGTATGGAATTCAGCCTCCCACCTCGCTAACTCTGTTTGGAATTAAGCCTTCCCATGATGCTGATGTTTAATGTGGGACATCCTTAAGCTGCCATGAAATCGACTTAGGCCGGGAGTAAATTTATTTTTAATAAGGTGCTGGATGTTGGGGGTCCTAGGTTTATCTACCTGTGAAAAGGGAATCTGGTCCACAGTAAGAACTGTGGGGAAAAGTCAGACACAGATGTGTTTACTCTGGTGTGGCGGAGAGCGTTGCTCCCACAATAATGCAGCCTGGAACCTAGCTCCACACCAGCGGAGAGGAGCTGTATGTGTGTGTGTGTGTGTGAGTACTTGCGTGCGCAGAGGTTCATTGAAGACCTAACAAGGCCTCACAACACAAATCAAGGCAGGCGGTTTAACCGAGTTATCCTGTATGACATTTGCAATGATTAAAACTGAGTTGTTTTCAAGACATAAAGACTCGCTTAGAGAAAAAACTGAATGCAACTTCCCCGAGCCCACTGCACCTTTTTCCCCTCACTTTGTTTTGGCAGTTGTGCTGTTGCCGGGTGAAAAAGTAAAATCACAAAAAGTAAAACAGGACCCTCATAACGTAAATGTTTCTTTTGGGTTCCAATTAGATCAATTCGCGGGGGGGTTCTACTCAAGCTGTCATGAGTTAATGTTGCTCTGTGGTTGATATTGACATCTGAACCGAGCCAAGCGGTAAGTGAAAGTAGTGAAGCACTCTCAGGGGGGGTATAGGGTTTCTAAACAGCAACATAGTTTCGTCGAAGGGACCAGAGGTTGACTGCAAAGTGAACATTTTACAAGCGGAAAAAGGCTGGCTGGCCATGTAGTACATGTACCTTGAGGAAACTAGAGCCTGCCTGGGCCAGACGTGTGCTTTAGAAAACACCCAACGGAAGTTCATTCACAGTGTGGGAAACCTGATTGAGACATGCTAAAACGGCCACTAAGCACACACGACACCCACACACACAATGTTCTCTGTTAACTCTGCTAACTCACCTTGTTCTGAATGTGTGTGATTGCTACTGGAATACCCAAACATCAGAGCATTCCATGGCCTTCGCAAGCTTACAGTCCATCCTTAAAGCAACATGGCCAACTCACGATAAGCAAAGGGAACAGTAAGGGGCATAGAGGACTGAAGAGTCTAATTTCCAGTACCAGAACGAGAGTGTTGGTAAGGCAACTGTGAATTCATATGAGGGTCTATTCACACACTTATCCCCATGTGAACTCAACTCACCCAAATAATGACCACTGGATGCAGGAGTGCTCGGTCTGCCACTTCCAACGCACTCAGCATTTCTCCAACTTCAGACAACCAATAATTATTCACCTATGGATAAAAATTAAAAGCAATTGTCAGAAAATAGTGGAATATTGTTGAGTTGGCTATTTGAACAGCAAATAAAGAAAATGTGCATAACCTTCTATTTCCAACATGGTAAACATATTGGCAATAACATAAACAATATGCATAATGTTGAAACAGGCTAACTTCTTTTCTGTTTTCCTAAACTTGTCCTGAAGTGTGAACTTACAGAAACTTGAATAAAGTTCCACTCTTTTGACAGAGATTTGGCATTGTCTCCTATCAAGTCTGAGATCACATCCACCTCCTTGAAGAAAGATACAAAGAAACATTTTACAGAAAAAAACAAATAATGATGTTAGTTAATGCTGTTAAATTATATTGGAATGCAGGGGAGCTCAACTACAGTCCCAGAGGGTTTTCCATGCTGGTATGAATGTATCCCTGGCACTTGATCAAATAATTTCAGCCAGAGTCTCAGTCCACACACCTGGTTACCCAATAATAAATTAGTCCCTGATTAGAAAGCAAGGACAAAACCAGCATACAGTGGGGGAAAAAAGTATTTAGTCAGCCACCAATTGTGCAAGTTCTCCCACTTAAAAAGATGAGAGAGGCCTGTAATTTTCATCATAGGTACACGTCAACTATGACAGACAAATTGAGATTTTTTTTCTCCAGAAAATCACATTGTAGGATTTTTAATGAATTTATTTGCAAATTATGGTGGAAAATAAGTATTTGGTCAATAACAAAAGTTTCTCAATACTTTGTTGGCAATGACACAGGTCAAACGTTTTCTGTAAGTCTTCACAAGGTTTTCACACACTGTTGCTGGTATTTTGGCCCATTCCTCCATGCAGATCTCCTCTAGAGCAGTGATGTTTTGGGGCTGTCGCTGGGCAACACGGACTTTCAACTCCCTCCAAAGATTTTCTATGGGGTTGAGATCTGGAGACTGGCTAGGCCACTCCAGGACCTTGAAATGCTTCTTACGAAGCCACTCCTTCGTTGCCCGGGCGGTGTGTTTGGGATCATTGTCATGCTGAAAGACCCAGCCACGTTTCATCTTCAATGCCCTTGCTGATGGAAGGAGGTTTTCACTCAAAATCTCACGATACATGGCCCCATTCATTCTTTCCTTTACACGGATCAGTCGTCCTGGTCCCTTTGCAGAAAAACAGCCCCAAAGCATGATGTTTCCACCCCCATGCTTCACAGTAGGTATGGTGTTCTTTGGATGCAACTCAGCATTCTTTGTCCTCCAAACACGACGAGTTGAGTTTTTACCAAAAAGTTATATTTTGGTTTCATCTGACCATATGACATTCTCCCAATCCTCTTCTGGATCATCCAAATGCACTCTAGCAAACTTCAGACGGGCCTGGAGATGTACTGGCTTAAGCAGGGGGACACGTCTGGCACTGCAGGATTTGAGTCCCTGGCGGCGTAGTGTGTTACTGATGGTAGGCTTTGTTACTTTGGTCCCAGCTCTCTGCAGGTCATTCACTAGGTCCCCCCGTGTGGTTCTGGGATTTTTGCTCACCGTTCTTGTGATCATTTTGACCCCACGGGGTGAGATCTTGCGTGGAGCCCCAGATTGAGGGAGATTATCAGTGGTCTTGTATGTCTTCCATTTCCTAATAATTGCTCCCACAGTTGACTTCTTCAAACCAAGCTGCTTACCTTTTGCAGATTCAGTCTTCCCAGCCTGGTGCAGGTCTACAATTTTGTTTCTGGTGTCCTTTGACAGCTCTTTGGTCTTGGCCATAGTGGAGTTTAGAGTGTGACTGTTTGAGGTTGTGGACAGGTGTCTTTTATACTGATAACAAGTTCAAACAGGTGCCATTAATACAGGTAACGAGTGGAGGACAGAGGAGCCTCTTAAAGAAGAAGTTACAGGTCTGTGAGAGCCAGAAATCCTGCTTGTTTGTAGGTGACCAAATACTTATTTTCCACCATAATTTGCAAATAAATTCATTAAAAATCCTACAATGTGATTTTCTGGAGAAAAAAAATCTCAATTTGTCTGTCATAGTTGACGTGTACCTATGATGAAAATTACAGGCCTCTCCCATCTTTTTAAGTGGGAGAACTTGCACAATTGGTGGCTGACTAAATACTTTTTTCCCCCACTGTACATTGCGAAGCTCCAGGACTAGAGTTGAACACCATTGATCTTACGCTAAATTCTCTCCATGGCTGGATTGCTCATTAGAACAAATGAAAGGAGACAGGGAACCACTGCTGGGCTCTCTTTGTCTCTCTGACCTGGCAGAATGATACAGCGTACAAAGAAGCCCGGAGATTCTAGATGAGCCAAGTTAAATTTCATTACACTGTAAATCGAATCAAAATTCAGTGCAGTCCAAAATGGTAAAAGCTTTTTTGTTCACTGTAATTGTAACCACATTTTAGCTGTGTATCTTTCAACGAATTCACCCTTGCATACGAATGGAATGAACAGTACAACATGCTACAGTCAGTGTATCCATTTCATGTTCATCTCTTATGTTTTCCTAGTAATTATTCCCTGGTCCTGTCTAACATTTCATACACAAGAGGAAATAAACACAGAAACAAACATCCACGCTCTGTGTTTGGCACCGACTGGGACTTGTCCGATTTTAAACGTTTAGAATAACAACGACAATTAGAAATATGAAATGGTTACGGGAAACATGTGGAGGGTTATTTGGTCCAGAAAGATAAGTTGCTTGTGGGTTCCGAGGGAAAACCATCAGAGTCAGAAATGTAGATTTGCGAGATTACATTTTCTGACATGATTTAAACAAGGTTGGTTGGGCATGAAATCCTGGAATGGGATATTTGTTCAAGATCAGGGAGGCCGTCTGGGAGAGCCAAGGAGACAGGAGGTCAAGGACCAACTACAGAACACACCAGAGTCAGTGACCGAGGCAGAAATCAAGTTCCAGGCTGCCAGAGGAAAAAAAGAGAACTACCCCAAACTATGAGTTTGAATTCAGAAAGTTCAGTGTTTGATAAGTGGTAAGAAGTACCCAATGTTACCGCATTGTTTCCTAGTAAAGACCATATAAATACCAAGTCCCAGCTTAAAACAGGCGATAAAATAAAGCGTTACCTATTACTTTTTCGAACTATGAGTTGCTTGTTTGAAATGCTGAGAAACTCAGACAAAGAGAAAGGATGGACATGATTTGAATAAAGTGCTCAAAGTGTAGTTCAGTGAGCTTTGTCCCTGCCTAGCCCTAGCTGTTCCTCTATCTGGCTGTGTCCATGACAAAATATCTAGTAGGTCAAGGTTAATATTTTGGAAAAAGGAGTGATATAATTAATGTGTTCCAAGATTGTATTTAATTTTGAGTGAATATGAAATACTATCTTATACTAAGCTCAAAATGTTAGAGATAAGGAAGGGATGGAGGTGTTCTCCCTTCATCAAATCCTCCCTTCCTATCATGACATTAATGTCTATTAGATTGGGCTCTGACACATATTGTGTCAGAGCCTAAATTTAAAAAAGATGCAGATGTTTCAGTTGCAGCTCTAATTTAATGTCAGAATTATGTTTTTGTGGTAAAACTCCAATTCCTTTGTCTCAGGAGACTGAAATAAATATGACACTAATAGGTTTACTTATTAATCAAAATAATCATTAATGGATATAAAAGCTGTTTGTTTGAACAAGGTCTGGTAATGTCTGTTAAAGGACAAGTGATCTGGGGTTAATGAGGCAACTACTTTTATAAACCTAAAAAAAGTTTATTTACCAAATTGTGTACAGAACAAGAAAAAAAAGTGCTAACAAGAACATTGTTTATAATATATTGCATATTAATACAATTGAATGTCTATTTTGTATCTTCCACTATGATTATGGGATCACGTCCATATTCATCCTGCTATGACAATCCCCTAATCATATTCTCCCCACAATAGCACATACACAAGCTGCCAAATCCTCCACCTGCACACACACTACACTGTGTGCTCGCCTCCAAGCTCCAGCTCAGCTCAGCCTCTACCTCCCTTATCCCCTGTATTAGATTCATTAATGGCACTGATCACAAAGCTAATTCCTCCTTCTCCGTTTCCTCTCCTTTCATCTCCCTCGAACCCCTGGGAAGGATGTATCAGGATGTATCTGGTCCCAGACACGCGTGCACCCAACATGACCCCACCGGCCACCTGAGTGCAGGGAACGATGGTTCCAATCAGAGCCAAAGCCTTAGGTTCCTAGGATCCCATACGTCTCAGGGGTCTGCCTAGCACCTCGACAGCTAGATCCGCTGCCTGTTTGACGTGTACTGCCTGATGAAGGGCTTGGCACTGCTTCACAGGAGGATGAGCTGTCGGTGGGTCTATGCTCTCCCTGTAACACCAAAACACTTCATCCGCCATGCATTTCCCCTCTCTGTTGTCAACTACAGAGGGAGGATGTACTGTATATACTTTTTGATATATGCAGGAAGGAACATACTCTCGACAGTAATGTGGGGACGGTATGTTGGGAGGCCGGGGTGTCCATTTTAAAACAAATGAGAATGGAGTGCAGTGTGATGTGCAGTGTGATTTGTGCAGTGTGATTTGTGCAGTATGATTTGTGGGGACGATATGGCAACCCGTGACCCCTTCACCATGACTGAGAATGAATGGGAGATGTGTCATATGGGGACGGTATGGGGAAACTGGGAGCCCTTCAACATGACGGACGAAGGGTGGGAGTGAAGACTCATCTCTGAACACTCAATTAATCAGACAATTCCCATGGCATGACCAATATGACTGCCATCTGCTTTCCGTCATGCCGGGGAGGTGGAGAGGTGGAGAGGCAGAGGGGGGATGGAGGGAGGAGGGTGTGGAAGCCTTCAGACAAGCTCCATTATAGGTCTGACCACAGATGGCTAGTCTAACCAGGGCCCACCCAAGTGGAGCTCACATGGTCTGGGAGAGGGGGGTTGTTGGAGGGGTGGGGTGGAAGAAACATCAATGTGATGATCGAATGTGGAATCTCACAAACATTGTAATCGTAATCATAATCAACATCATCATCACCATACCATGTCCAAAGCTCCCATGCTCCTCTGCAGAGCGTTGGCCAGCTCTGTAGCCTGTGCAGACCCACCTGTGATAACACAAGCCGACCGGGAGAGAGTCTCTGAAAAAGAAAGTGTACTTTGACCACTTTTGCTGTAAATCTCCATTACTTAGCAATGATAATCATCTTTAAACATTGTGAGAATTAATTTACATCATCAGCACTCGGGATTCAACTTGATTTACGTGGGGAAGTGATGTGCCAAAGAAACACACACACACACAGATGAAGATGTATTCTTGCATATGCTCCAAACACACACAAACAATGAATTCATTCATACACAAAGCTCTCTTGGTATAATTACTATTGTCAATATGTCATAATCTAATTGGTTGGCCCAGGTGCATACAGAGGTAAAGAGTAGGGTTGATGACTTTATGTATGTTTCCCTGATTGTGTAGAGACCATGATGGCTCTACCCTGCCCTGACTTGTACGGATGGCATTCACATCAGAGACTGCAAACACCCTCCCGTTCTTTCTGACAAACCTAAACAAGACTTCATAGAATATCTTCCTGGGAGAACAATAAGATACTATTCTATTTCTCGTCTACGTCACTCTATTCCATTCTAAACTGTCATTGTCTCACACAGGACAAAACACCTTTACATCACTTATGTTGTATAGAAAATAGTGATAACATGCATTAGGTCTATAAAGTACATGGTTACTGTCTGAGGCAAACAATCATCATGTAAATATTGCACTTAAAAACAGTATAATGATGAAGTTGTGTATAAACATACATACAGATACACAGTCACATACCTTTGACAATGGACTCTGCTGCAGCCAGATCTCGTTTGTAGGTCACCTACAGCACAAATAAACTTAGTTTAACAACATGTTAGCATCAAACCTGCTCTAAAAAGCATAGTTAATTTTAGTGCAAATATATTTAGATTCATAGGCCTTACCCCATTACTGGCTTATTTCAAGTCTATCAAAACCATAAAAACCCTTTACTTTCAGTCATCATATCAAATAGTATTAAATACAATACACAATGTATAAATTAAAATCTGTACTTGTCCCTGTATAACAAACTAGTAATAAGCATACAGTTAGTGCTAAGACAATGGCCTAATTTAGGCTTATAGGCATTGTCCCAAACTGAGTTCCAGTGTCCCAGGCTGGCTCACCTTCCACAGGGTTGGCGGGCCCTCGATGAGCTTGGCATTGGTGCCACAGTACTGCAGAGCCAGATGAAGGCACTCGGTGCCAAACTCAAAGTCTGACGCGCTGCACTATGAGGACAGGACACAAGAGGCGTGGGATTGTTGACGATGCATAATAAACTGAGTTAGTTCCTATTTCATAAACAGAGTTGAGCAAGTCTTCTGGGGACAAACAAAGGAGAATAGGTCACAAACTCACATCGACCATATTTACATCTAAACAAAATGTTTCACCTAGTCTGCTCGGGGAGTCGAACCAGCGACCTTTCGCCACTAGGCTACCTGCCACCCCAAATCAAACAACAGTTGAGTTAGTTGAGTTCATAACACTTTGGCCCAGTGCAGTGAGAACACATTGGAATCAGATTGCCATTGCTGTAGTTTGCATTGCATTGAAAATGTGATATAAGCGATGAGCTCATGGCTTTTAAGATACTGTGTGTGGACTACAAAGGCTAAAGGCTAACTCATGCTACCTGAGATAATATGTGGGACAATAATTTATTGGGGTTATAAAAGAGAGGGTATTTTTCTCAGGACCCTGGAACTGAAGGAGAAATTACAGGAGAAATATGGTAATTGAACCTGTAGCATTTTCTCCCAGTACAAAGGCATACACTGGAGACAGGATAGAGTGTCTCGCCTTTGTCTTTTCAGCCCAGAGTTCTGCCAGGCTCAATGCATGTCAAACTACAAATGTGAGGTTCACGTAGATTTTTTAGAATATGTCCTACAGTGCTAACTTGACAGACACCTTACACTTTCCCAACTTTGATGGACACAAGTGGAGAGGGGGTGGGGGTGGGGCACCCCCCCCATCGCGCCAGAGCCTCTCGTTCTCACAAATACACTTACATCACTACAAATTTGTCTTAATTTTCGGTGAAATGCTACTTGACTGGCCTTGACACTGATTCACTTGCATAGTGAATGTGCTCTCATTTTCAGAGAGTCAAAGCCAAAATCAACAGGGCTCCCTGGTAATCTAAAATTCGTATGTGCCAGGAACCAAAATAACTGCAGACAAATGGAACTCCAATTGGACCCATACTTCGGCTCTTAGTCAAGGCTTCCTACGTCCTTCAAAACACTGGTATCTGCATCACCACCTAATGGAGCCAAGGTTCAAATAGCAGAGCTCTGAAGTATCTGGGCTGTTTGAAAAATAAATATGGTGAATTTTTGCACTGACGGATTTGTGATAGACAGAAAAAGCCTTTAAGAATTTATAATGTTTCATCTGTAGGTGCTACAAAGAAAAATGTGTTTCATATGAAGCTTTACCGCTTGCTCTGTAATAGGAGTAGTATTTTGATTTCAGTAATGATTTTCTTACATTAATGTATGAATATTTAAAAATAGAAACATGAACATTGAAAATATACCCTTTTTGATTTGGCAAATGTTTGAATATTGTTGAACATAATATACTCTACAGGAATATCAAAGTTCCAAAGTGGAATCTTTGCTAGTTTTAATGTTATGGACAATTTTATACAGAGGAATTGTCATAGTAGGCAATGTAACCAATCACAGCCCTCCTTTTACTTCTATCATTGCACATCACCAGCAGAGGGCAACTGTTTTGAATAGATTTTCACATTCACTGTTTGTAATGCTTACAAATTGGATCATAACTCTAAAAGTAGAAGAGATCGCACTCTAGAACTTTGAAATGCCTGTAGAGTATATTATGTTCAACAATATTTTGAAAAATTCACCAAATCAAAACATTTTCAGTGTTGGGGGTAATGAGTTACAAAAGTATTGTGTTACAGTAATGTATTACTTTTATTAGTAATATAACAAGTTACTGTGTTCAAATATTGTATTACTATTAGTTACTTTTTCCAAGTAACGTGTCCGATACTGGCAAATTGGGCCACCTTGATTGGCAAAGAGGGACACTTAATTATTTATTGTAAAGAAGGATAATTGAGAGAGTACATGAGTAAATAATATATATTCATGATAAACGTCAATTATTCATACAAATTAAATGTATTAAAACACTCTTTAGGTATTTTTGTGGAACATTCATAATTAATGATCTACACAAAATACTCTCCCATGTCAAAGTGGAAGAGAAATACTAACATTTGTAAAATAAAATATGAAAAATAAAACACTCATATCTTGATTAGATAAGTATTCAACCCCCTGAGTCAACACCTTAGAATCACCTTTTGCAGCGATTACAGCTGTGAGTCTTTCTGGCTAAGTCTCTAAGAGCTTTCCACACCCGGATTGTGCAACATTTGCCCATTATTCTTTTCAAAATTCTTCAAGCTCTGTCAACTTGGTTGATGATCATTGCTAAACAACCATTTTTAAGTCTTGCCATAGATTTTCAAGCAGATTTAATTCAAAAACTGTAACTCGGCCACTCAGGAACATTCACTGTCTTCTTGGTAAGCAACTCCAGTGTAGAGTTGGCCTTGTGTTTTAGGTTATTGTCCTGCTGAAAGGTGAATTAATCTCTGTGTCTGTTGGAAAGCAGACTGAACCAGGTTTTCCTCTAGGATTTTTCCTGTGCTTAGCTCTATTCCGTTTTCTTTTTTACCTGAAAAACTCCCCAGTCCTTAAAGATTACAAGCATTCCCATAACATGATGCAGCCACCACTATGCTTGAAAATATGGAGAGTGGTAGTCAGTAATGTGTTGTATTGGATTTGCCCCAAACATAACACTTTGTATTCTGGAAAAAAAGGGAATTGCTTTGCCACATTTTTTGCAGTATTACTTTAGTGTCTTGTTGCAAAAAGGATGCATATTTTGGGATATTTTATATTCTGTACAGGCTTCCTTGTTTTCACTCTGTCAATTGGGTTAGTATTGTGGAGTAATTACAATGTTGATCCATCCTCAGTTTTCTCCTATAACAGCCATTAAACTCTGTAACTGTTTTAAAGTCACCATTGGCCTCGTGGTGAATTCACCGAGCGGTTTCCTTCCTCTCCGGCAACTGAGCTAGGAAGGACGCCTGAATCTGTGTAGTGACTGGGTGTACACCATCCAAAGTGTAAGTTAATAACTTCACCATGCTCAGAGGGATATTCAATGTCTGCTTTTTATAACAAACTTACCCATCTTCCAATAGGTGCCCTTCTTTGCGAGGCATTGGAAAACCTCTGTGGTATTTGTGGTTGAATCTGTGTTTGAAATTCACTGCTCGACTGAGGGACCTTACAGAGAATTGTATGTGTGGGGTACAGAGATGAGGTAGTCATTCAAAAATCATGTTAAAAACTATTATTATTAGTCCATTTATTATGCACATTTTTACTACTGAACTTATTTAGGCTTGCCATAACAAAGGGGTTGAATACTTATTGACAAGACATTTCAGCTTTTTATTTTCTATTAATTTGTAAACATTTCGAAAAAACATAATTCCACTTTGACATTATGTGTGTAAGCCAGTGACAAAAACATCTAAATGTAATCCATTTTAAATTCAGGCTGTAACACAACAAAATGTGAAAAAAGTCAAGGGGTGTGAACACTTTCTGAAGGCACTGTACCTGTATGGTTATGTATATAGATAGCTAGGGGTTTTTATTGTTGGTGAGGTCATATCTTTCTAAGTAAAATGAAGCTATGCTAGCTCTCTCTAGCAAGCTAGCTGATAGCAGATTTAAGAAAATGAAATGGAACATTTGATCCTATTTAGAAAATGGATTTCTGTTAAGAAAACATGTATTTCATAATACCCCAAAATAGTATTTATGCTAGAGGAGTGTCAGTTTGAAAGTAACAGTGTCTCCCAGTTTGACATTAGGCAATTGGCAGCAGCATACCACCCTGCAACTCACTGTTGGCTTGCCTCTGAAACTAAGCAGGGTTGGTCCTGGTTGGTCCCTGGATGGGAGACCAGATGATGCTTGAAGTGGTGTTGGAGGGCCAGTAGGAGGCACTCGTTCCTCTGGTCAAAAAAAAATAATATATAAATAAAAATGCCCCAGGGCAGTGATTGGGGACATTGCCCAGTGTAGGGTGCCGTCTTTCGGATGAGATGTTAAACCTCTGTGGTCACTAAAGATACCATGGCACTTATCGTAAGAGTAGGGGTGTTAACCCCAGATTCATGGTTAAATTCCCCAACCTGTCCCTAATCATCCCCAGCTTCCAATTGGCACACCGATATTTGATTGACAATAAATTTCACATGCTGTTGTGCAAATGGAATAGACAACAGGTGGAAATTATAGGCAATTAGCAAGACACCCCCAATAAAGGAGTGGTTCTGCAGGTGGTGACCACAGACCACTTCTATGCTTCCTGGCTGATGTTTTGGTCACTTTTGAATGCTGGCGGTGCTTTCACTCTAGTGGTAGCATGAGACGGAGTCTACAACCCACACAAGTGGCTCAGGTAGTGCAGCTCATCCAGGATGGCACATCAATGCGAGCTGTGGCAAGAAGGTTTGCTGTGTCTGTCAGCGTGGTGTCCAGAGCATGGAGGCGCTACCAGGAGACAGGCCAGTACATCAGGAGACGTGGAGGAGGCTGTAGGAGGGCAACAACCCAGCAGCAGGACCGCTACCTCCACCTTTGTGCAAGGAGGAGCAGGAGGAGCACCGCCAGAGCCCTGCAAAATGACCTCCAGCAGGCCACAAATGTGCATGTGTCTGCTCAAACGGTCAGAAACAGACTCCATGAGGGTGGTATGAGGGCCCGACGTCCACAGGTGGGGGTTGTGCTTACAGCCCAACACCGTGCAGGACGTTTGGCATTTGCCAGAGAACACCAAGATTGGCAAATTCGCCACTGGCGCCCTGTGCTCTTCACAGATGAAAGCAGGTTCACACTGAGCACATGTGACAGACGTGACAGAGTCTGGAGACGCCGTGGAGAACGTTCTGCTGCCTGCAACATCCTCCAGCATGACCGGTTTGGCGGTGTGTCATTCATGGTGTGGGGTGGCATTTCTTTGGGGGGCCGCACAGCCCTCCATGTGCTCGCCAGAGGTACCCTGACTGACATTAGGTACCGAGATGAGATCCTCAGACCCCTTGTGAGACCATATGCTGGTGCGGTTGGCCCTGGGTTGCTCCTAATGCAAGACTATGCTAGACCTCATGTGGCTGGAGTGTGTCAGCAGTTCCTGCAAGAGGAAGGCATTGATGCTATGGACTGGCCCGCCCATTCCCCAGACCTGAATCCAATTGAGCACATCTGGGACATCATGTCTCGCTCCATCCACCAACGCCACGTTGCACCACAGACTGTCCAGGAGTTGGCGGATGCATTAGTCCAGGTCTGGGAGGAGATCCCTCAGGAGACCATCCGCCACCTCGTCAGGAGCATGCCCAGGCGTTGTAGGGAGGTCATACAGGCACGTGGAGGCCATACACACTACTGAGCCTCATTTTTACTTGTTTTAAGGACATTACATCAAAGTTGGATCAGCCTGTAGTGTGGTTTTCCACTTTAATTTTGAGTGTGACTCCAAATCCAGACCTCCATGGGTTGATAAATTGGATTTCCATTGATAATTTGTGTGTGATTTTGTTGTCAGCACATTCAACTATGTAAAGAAAAAAGTATTTAATAAGATTATTTCATTCATTCAGATCTAGGATGTGTTATTTTAGTGTTCCCTTAATTTTTTTGAGCAGTGTATGTTGTAATGAGACACTGAATATCCTTTCTTCGTTTTTTTTAATAACCTTAGCATTATTTAATAATAATAATAATAATATGCCATTTAGCAGACATTTAACTCAGAACACTGTCATTTTACATACCACTATGCCTCTGGAGGCACATGTCATTATACGGGATGCCACACCCACAAAGATGATGTCATTCCCATTGAACCCATTGTTTGTCATCACATACTTCCTCACTAACACATAGTCATTGATTGTTGATTACGTTATTGTACATATTTAAAGATATATATTACAAAGCTTAAGAGTCCCACTTTTCTCTGTGTCCCATTTAACCAATACTCACCCTATATGGAATTGTTCCACAAAAATGTGTTAAAGAGGAGACATTTATACTCATTATGATAAAACATAAATAACCATAAATAATATTTAATATGTTCTAACGCAATTTCCATATAAACAATTGAAATCTGATTAATGTAATTCAAAACGGAAAAGTGCCTCTTATCACAACAAAATTATATCTTGATAAAACTAACACATCAAAGGAATATTGTCCATAAACATCTGGCAGCTTTACAAAAATATATATAGCCTACATATTAAAGCCATTAAATACAGGCTATCAATCACAACAAGTCCGACTTCAAATGCCGACCTCAAAATTCAAATAACCGGTGCATTAACTGACCGCGGGCGAATGCAAACTATGTCAGATAAATCCTACACATAATAATGCATTGAAATACAAGGCATATAATCAAAGGGATTACTTATCATCAAGGACCTACAGTATGTAAGTCAAACAAAATCGACCAAACAACGGCAAAAAGTACCAAAGGAAAATCTACACCTTCGCTCATCTGATAGCCTACAGGTAGGCCTATAGTCGAGCTTCGTGCTGAATAGACAGCGTAAAAAAATATATATATAACGAGTAATAAGTAATAGATTGCTTTTCCAAGTAACGAATCCAAACATTGTTCATGTTTATATTTTTCAATATTCATAATTATTATAAGAAAATTGTTATTGAAATCAAAATACTACTCATTCTACAGAGCAAGCGGTAAAGCTTGATATGACACCAATGTTTTGTAGCACCTACAGATGAATCATTATTGAGTCTTAAAGGAGGCCTGGATAAGGCCAAAATTTGAATTACGCTTTCAAATAAAAATGTCAAATATATGTCAACAATCCTTCCTCCAAACGACCAAATCGTCTCACATGTTAAGAAAATAAATCACAGACAGTTAGACCTGTAGTAACCATGTTACTTCAATGTTATATTTACGTTACCTTTACCAAAGCCAAGAGGTATTTTTATTTTGTTCGACAGTGATACGCTTCACAGTGCCAGAGAATATTAATGTGTAATTTCTTTCCCAGACATAATCACGCCGTAGTGAAAATGAAGGCACCCTCACCACAAACTCTTCAGCTTGAAACCCTGCAGGTTCAAGCACATCTGGTGAACAATGGACGACTGTAAAGACTTGGTGTGATGTATGAGAATCATAAAGTATTTTGTCATCTAGTCGCATTGCTGGGCATAATTATTTCTCAAGCAAAAATCTCTCTCTGACTGTCATTTTATGTGATTCGAGGGACCTTTTAAAGCAATTATTTGACATTGAGAGGGAACATTAAAAACCTGCAGGACATGACTAGTGCTCGATTTGGAAAAAGGTTTTGCAGACATCCAAGGTTCTCTATTTCCCTGACCAGAGGTGAAGACAACTTCACAAAAACATTATCTAAACGTGAGAACTTACTACTGTACAAGGCTAGGTTTGGACAAGGTGCATCCTTGTTGGCATATTTCCATTTAAGAAAATCATTCAATAGTTTGTTGTTTTATCAGTCACATCCCTAATTCAAATGTGCATGGGAAACATAGTCATTTTTAGCCAGGTCAAACAGACTGACCGGTGCACTCACGTTCTGTTTAATTGAAACAGAATGTGCGTTATCGTGAGATCAGGCTGGGTTCACGGGGCTATGTATTTTTTTACATAGCCCCTAAAAATGGGCTACCAGTTTTTATTGACTGGACCTTGGGTAGACTACAAGTGATGTGTGTGTACAAGAGCTGCCTAGTGCCTACAAGTACCTACCCTCTGATAAGCCTGGTAGATTACATCATAGATGAATCCCTGGGGCATCTCACTGGCTCTGTACTTGGTTCTCTCCAGAGAATGGTCCAGGTAGCCCTCCAATGTGGTAGCAATCACCGTGGAAACCAGAGGTCGGATAGCCCCAGCAGCCTGCAAAATAATAAACAGATCGGAATACGTCATTCTTTTTTATTCTTTATGGCAAACACACACATCAATCCAAAATGTATCAAATGGTTCCGATCCTGTTGTGTCTTCAGGCTTACCACACTAGCTCTAACCATGGCTGGATAACAACAATACATCCTAGCTAAACAGCAGCTTGTGCACACAATGCCTTTCCTGTACAATTGGAAGTTCTTAATGAACAACATTCCCGAGATCATATTTTCTTGTGACCATGACATGATTGAGGATGGAAATCCCCATTGTGCCAAGAATAAGTATGGTCAATGAGATAGTGGGTGCAAAATGACTTGCAAATGGAATGAAAGCAAACATGTATTATGTGTGTTACACATGTTGTTAAAATCCAAATTAATCTCTTGCTCTTCGGAGAAGACTGACATTTTATCATGATCGGGGATACTGGCAAGTTAATGAAGACCAGACTGCTGGCTTTGAGAGTCAGTCACTTACACCCACCCACCCACACACACACACACACAGTAAATGTCAGCCCAAATGTCAAAGAGCTCCTGCGCTCACTTCTCACTTTTGTGACCAGCCTTCAACAATATCATGTCACAGCAAGTAAAATTGAAATATGAATCACCATCTAAACATACGATGTCTTCCTTACCTACTAATATCAGCCAATGTGGTTTTCATGTGTGATGGCTTACAGTAGGTGTACATGGCTACAGTTGAGAGCAATGAATCAGTACACCTGAGCCCCACTGACTGTGTTGGGGTGGAAGAGATAGAGAAGTTTGAATATGTACAAACCCCTTGCTCTTTGGCAGCCATTGTTATCTTGTGGAGGAAGTCCTCTTCCACAAAGGGCCGCACTGCATCATGGATGATTACCACCTTTGGTTTGACGCGGGCCGTACCATCCTCTCCCTCACTGAGGGCCCGGACCCCATTGAATATAGATCTGTGGCGAGTAGATCCACCATGTACCACTAGGACCTTTCTGTGGTGGAAGCGGTGGATAATGTCCATCATCAGGTCGAGGCTCTCCTTGGCAACCACCACAACAATGCTTTGGATCCATGGCACTCTGTCAAAGAAACAGTGTGTATAGTCATAAGTCAACACCTTTCGTACTGTGGTTAGAACATATAATTCTTGTTGAGTATTTTTGTTTCATTACTTGTGTCATGACTTGTTATATTACCATACATAACACATTCTGGTGCAATTATTTGCATACATTACTTCAACAGAATTCCACTGAAATGGTCACTATGGAACAAAGATACATAGTAGTATCAAGAACAAGTAGGCTGTAGACGTTGTTGGAAGTTGTAGAAAGACTCAACATTGGAATGTGTTACCTGATGGCTTCAGTAAAAATCTATTGAATAGGATAATGAGACATTACAAAATCTTAATTGATTCAACGATAACATAAAAGCGCTTGACACCCCAGTGAAGTGGTTGGTTTACATGTGGCTACTGTCTCGTGCAGGGACAGATATGTTTTTGCATGCAAACATTCGACACTTCAAGTGTTACCTCTCGAAAGTTTGAATTGTGTAGCTTATAAGAGGTCTGTTGAGAAACGTGCAGAACTGTTTGGGTGTCAGTAGCCCCGTTCTTTCTCCACTGCCACCGGCTGGAAGAACCACAGCTACCGGGAAATCGACGATGCAAAGTCCCGCAATGTGCTTGTCCAACCGGGCTTCGCTTGCTGAGAAATGCCCTGGTTCAACAGGCCTGTCCATGTCGCCCGTTTCCTCTTGCATGCTTCAGGGCAATTGATTCATTTGAAGTCAAAACGGACTAACGGTGATGAATTAGGACATCCTACCGGTATCCCCGTATACAGTTTCATTCATTCCTTTATGGGAGGAGTAGCGTAGACTTGTGATTGATTCGATTTGTATCGTGTTATGTTGCAGCCAGAGTGCTACGCCTGCGCGCTGTCAAGGAAGCCCCATGCCAGCTATGCGTCACTAATGTTATCTGTATTTGTGGTTATTTATGACATCATTTTGCTTATACTGCATGCTTTCATGTCTTTTTAATTTTGACTGCTTGATGCAATTGAGCATACATTTACATTTTAGTCATTTAGCAGATGCTCTTATCCAGAGTGACTTATAGGAGCAATTAGGGTCAAGTGCCTTGCTTAAGGGCACATCGACAGATTTTTCAGTCGGCTCAGGGTTTCGAACCAGCAACCTTTCAGTTACTGGCTCAATGCTCTTAACCACTAGGTTACCTGGCGCATATTCATTTATGTATTCAAACTTGCTTGATCTGGTGCAAAAGTAAAGTATAACTAGTGTGATATGATAATTGTATGTGTAGGCCTATACTATATGAGGTTACTTGACCTACAGCGTATTCGGAAAGTATTCAGACCCCTTGACTTTTTCCACATTTTGTTAAGTTACAGCCTTATTCTAAAATGGATTAAATAAATACAAATCCTCATCAATCTACACACAATGCCCCATAATGACAAGCGAAAACAGGTTTTTAGACATTTTTGCAAATGTATTAAAAATAAAAAACGGAAATACCTTATTTACATAAGTATTCAGACCCTTTGCTATGAGATTCGAAATTGAGCTCAGGTGCATCCTGTTTCCATTGATCATCCTTGAGATGGTTCTACAACTTGATTGGAGTCCACCTGTGGTAAATTCAATTGATTGGACATGATTTGGAAAGGCACACACCTGTCTATATAAGGTCCCACAGTTGACAGTGCATGTCAGAGAAAAAACCAAGCCAAAAGGTTGAAGGAATTGTCTGTAGAGCGCCGAGACAGGATTGTGTCGAGGCACAGATCTGGGGAGGGGTACCAAAAAATGTCTGCAGCTTTGAAAGGTCCCCAAGAACACAGTGGCCTCCATAATTCTTAAATGGAAGAAGTTTGGGACCACCAAGACTCTTCCTAGAGCTGACCGCCCAGCCAAACTGAGCAATTGGGGGAGAAGGGCCTTGGTCAGGGAGGTGACCAAGAACCCGATGGTCACTCTGACAGAGCTCCAGAGTTCCTCTGTGGAGATGGGAGAACCTTCCAGAAAGACAACTATCTCTGCAGCACTCCACCAATCAGACATTTATGGTAGAGTGGCCAGACAGAAGCCACTCCTCAGTAAAAGGCACACGACAGCCCGCTTGGAGTTTGCCAAAAGGCACCTAAAGGACTCTCAGACCATGAGAAACAAAATTCTCTGGTCTGATGAAACCAAGATTGAACTCTTTGTCCTGAATGTCAAGCGTCATGTCTGGAGGAAACCTGACACCATCCCTACAGTGAAGCATGGTGGTGGCAGCATCATGCTGAGGGGATGTTTTTCAGCGGCAGGGACTGGAAGATTAGTCAGGATCGAGGGAAAGATGAATGGAGCAAAGTACAGAGAGATCCTTGATGAAAACCTGCTCCAGAGCGCTCAGGACCTCAGACTGGGGCAAAGGTTCACCTTCCAACAGGACAATGACCCTAAGCACACAGCCAAGACAACACAGGAGTGTATTCGGGACAAGTCTCTGAATGTCTTTGAGTGGCCCAGCCAGAGCCCGGACTTGAACCCGATCGAACATCTCTGGAGATACCTGAAAATAGCTGTGCAGCGATGCTCCCCATCCAACCTGACAGAGCTTGAGAGGATCTGCAGAGAAGAATGGGAGAAACTCCCCAAATACAGGTGTGCCACGCTTGTAGCATCATTCCCAAGAAGAAAAAAAAAATGTATGCACTCACTAACTGTAAGTCGCTCTGGATAAGAGCGTCTGCTAAATGACTAAAATGTAAAGACTCGAGGCTGTAATCGCTGCCAAATGTGCTTCAACAAAGTACTGAGTAAAGGGTCTGAATACTTTCCGTTTAAAAAATAATAATAATTACAAACCTGTTTTGGCTTAGTCATTATGGGGTATTGTGTATAGATGAATGACGGGAAAAACAATTTTATCAATTTTAGAATACGGCTGTACAGTAACAAAATGTGGAAAAAGTCAAGGGGTCCATGTTGAAAGTCCATCTAGTGGTCCATAAAGCAATTTGGGGTAGGCCTACAGATTTGTAGGTGGTCGACATGCGCTGCCACCCAAGATATGTTTATAACTAAATGACTATGTGTAAGTAGCCTACCACAGGACATGGATTAACATCAATGAAACAAGAACTTGAATATGGCCCCCGGGACATAAAATAATTGCAGGGGGAACATCAAGGGCAGGCCTCGTTGTCAATAAAGTATGCAAAGTATGCATGTATTGGAAGTTAATAATACTGGGTAATATTCTATTTTAAAGTGGCAAAGTAGGTCTCTAAAGTAAGAACCAACACAATACAATGAGGTGAAGTTTGTGTTAACATTTATTATTTTTTCAATGAAACATGAGCAATGACAAATATGTGTGATGCATATAAAAGGTTTATCAAATGAATAGCAATACAAAATATATATTACATCATATACATCTTATAGAAAACGTTTATACATATGTTATCATACTTCAGAGGACTATATGATACTATATATGTACACATATTTACATTGTGTTGTGTATTTGTGGTGCTTTTGTGTTGGGAAATCCCTTTTCATGCAGAGCTTATTTTATTACATTATATTGGCTGTAAAACTGTGTTTGCATAATGGAGTGAAGTGCAGGTTTACATTGTCATACAAGATCTTGAATGATGTGAGTTATCTTAAAGTTCCAGACAGTTCAATTGGTCATGATGACCCCATTTAGGTTCATTTCATCTAATTAGCTAATGATTTAATGGTGCCCATTGGTCCTCAGATGTAGAAGGCCATTCACATTTACAAAGTCACTCTCAGTGGTCCTCCTCACAACAAGCCAGTCCCAATAAGAGATAATCCAAGACCACAGTCACTGAGGCATTCTGCAGTCCTGCCTTAGGGCTCTGCTTCATGCCAGTTCTCGTTTAGCTTGATCTTCCCTAGCCTCCTTTTGGCTTTGGCTTTGTGTTTGTGGAGAAGCTGGGGCTGAGACAAGGTAGGCTCCTCAAACTTCATATGGCTTGACTCGTTGTGTTTCCGGGAGTACCTCTTACACTTGCACGAGGTGACCACTGTGATTTTGTATGTTCTTGTGCTGCCATCTTGGCACTGCAGCTGGATGCGTTGGGTGCGCGTCTTGTCGTTGACGCAGCGCCAGTCCTGACTGTTCCTCCGGCTCCAGAACTTTCTGCCGTAGCCACCACCGATCCAGTTGGGAAGCATCTGGGCGGGGAGGCACTCGCCAGCACATACTAGCTCCTTTATGGGGTTGATGCTTGTGCATTGGCCATCAGAGATGTACTTGGTAGACCTCAGCTCTCTACAGCCAACTTGGCTTCTCTGATCTGTAAGAGAGAGAAACAGAAAAACGATGAGAATCAAACCACTTTGAACATCTAGTGAAGATTAAAACATCATTTTGTAGCCCCAAACTATTTGGTTTCACTTTGAATTCTACTGCAGGTAACATAAAAGGGTTTTGATCAGAAAACATTAAAAACACAGCCGTCTTGGTCTATTTGGTTCATTTTGAGGTTTTTGGCACAGACTGTAAGCCTATACCGATTACTGGCTTGTAGAGAGGAAATGGTGCATTGCTCTTGCATGAGAGGAAGGGCTTTAGTGTTCTGAGCTATGTCAATGGAGCTGGCTTTCTAATAGGATTATCAGCGGGCAACTGGTAAGACTATCAGCACTGTTCTGCTCCAGGCTACAGCTCCTCACTCACACTGTAATCCAAGCCAGGGCCCCATTCACAGACTGCCATACACCTCTGTGACAATGTGCCCCCTTCTCTATGACAGAGTCTGATGAATGAAGAGAGGAGAGGCTCCTTTTCTCTCCTTCATGTTCGGGGTCCTGAAAGAGCTCAAGTCAAACAGCGCCACAATCACAGACTTCCTGTGCATAGGAACACACCTCCATTCAGTGGCGCTGACACACGATCACTCCCCAAACACTAGCCTGGCTGCCCTGGGTGACTCATCACTACTGCCTTGCTTGGACGCCTGCCAGGAGTGTGTGTGTGTGTGTGTGCGTGGGTGTGTGTGTGTGTGTGTGTGTGTGTGTGTATTGAAGATCATTGTGCCAAATTTGCCTGGTCTCACTCAGTTAGGGCATCTGATACTGTCTCTGGAGAGTGTCACTACTTAGCTACTGACCAGAGCTGATCTTATCCATTTCTATTGTACTATGAAATACTAAATATGAATATAAATAAGATATATTTCATAGGCCCACTATATATATAAAACAGCTGGTTGTAGTTTTAACAGTTACATTTTTACATTAAGAATGTAGTATATTAATTGCCTATTTATTTTGCTTATTTACTATCTTCTACATTTCAGATATCATGTAGAGAACACCATCTCAACAAACTAATTGTAGAAGCCTCTATAAATCTGCTTGTGCTGGAATAAATCTGGCTATACACTTGTCTTGAAATTAAAAAAGTTTAAAACCAAGTGAAAATAGTTAAAAACCTTAAAGCACAATTTCTCAATGTTTTGAGAAACAGTACTCACCAACTCTATCGTTCCCAGCAGTATTTCCCGCGCCTCTCCCGCCGTTTCTTGCCCGATTTAAAGAGACATTGCTCGGGGCATCCTGCACAGGGGTATCCACGTGCGAGTATAGGATCTCCGTAGCATCATTATTGAACGCCTGGCAACTCCTCACAAGAATACAAAACAAGAATACCAGGTTGCACGACTCGCATGCACTCAAGTGCATGTTTGCTTCTGTGAATGTAAGGAATAAGCAGATCACCTGTCAGTAAACTGATTCTGTGCCTCTGATGTCTGCGGCAGAGATATGTCTGCGGCAGAGATACTACATTCTGGGCATTTATATTGGCCTGCCCGCGTCTTGTTTTGGCAACCGCTCAGGTGCACATCATGGGGTCTCTTGACTGAAGGCTGGGCATAACTGGATAACCACGCCCATTTGTCTGTGCGCAGCAGAGCCAGTGAGTCTACAACATCTGGAATGATTCTGTTCCTGTCACTCCAATTGATGGGATTTGGTGCTATTGAGTAATTTGTGCTTCATTATAATTATAAGTCAGATCGCAATCTATTCATCACATTTAATCTATTCAAAATATTAGAAGAGTCCCCCACTTTTGGTCTCTACAATAATGTGTTCCTTTTCTGTTCATTTTTTTTTTTTTTGCCTAGCTCAATTTTATATTCCCTCGTCATTTAATAATCTTCCATGTTCTGACATGCAGTCTCACCTATTCTCTTAATTCAAAAATGAAAGCTGATATGGTCTCAGTCATTCTCTTCCTCTCGACCTCTCAATCCCCTGTCATGTTTACGGCTAATGATTGGAGTGCCTAGACTACCTGGAGTCTTTGTGTGTGCGCGCTACTTATGTCAACGAGAGATATAATTACTTCTGTGGGAGCATTCACTTCAGCCTTGTCTTCCAGATTTGAAAATAAGTGTCACACATAAACACTAATTGTTACTCATGTGAATTAAATCTGATTCACTTTTGTTCAGTGTCATTATCATATGAACCTTAAATATAGGGTCCTCCTTCCTCCTGTGTAGAATACCACAAAGCATCGAAAGCAAAGCAGATGCACTGTATCTTGTGATATAATATCTGCCTGAATACATGTAAGGGTGAAGCAATAATACATTGTTTACACTATTGTTGATTTTGTAACTAGCAGCCTTGTCTCTTTTTACTCACATGGAAGGAATATTTCACTAAACAGCTCTTTCACCTCACTTCTGCCACAAAATAAAGACAATACCACAATTTTATCCCAGGAGACTAGTAGTACATGGATGGCTTTCCTATCTACAGTCCTTTAGGTGATGGGGTGAATGATGCAGAAGTTCATATGATATGCCACTGTCATGTTTCTCCCATCTAAAGGAGCAGAAAGCTGAGATAGCCCCTCTCTATGTGTCCAGACCATGGAGACAGTGACATATAGAAGTAGATTGGGTGAGAGAATCCTGTGGGAAACAAAGGGACAGGCATACAATCCCACACACGTTCCTGCACGCACAAATAGGCATGCATGCACACACACACACACACACACACACACCTGTATTAGCAGGAAGGACCCTCATGTGGTAATAGGAGGTGGGATGGGGGGACTAGAGAGTGACAAAAGAAATGCATAACATGGGAACAAAGCCAAGAGACAAAGTTCATGGAAGCGTAGAATTCACTATGAATCCCCAAGGAAGCCCATTGTATAAATGCAGACAATGGATTTGAGTCTTGTTCAAGAGTGAGAGCTGTTCTTTGTTTGCCCTTAGCCATCAGATTTAATGTACTCATTTCATTTTCCCAATGGTATATTATTATTGATATGAATTATGTACAAATTGTGAAATATCTCAATTTACTGTGATGAATAGAATTGTGAACTTGGGCTACAATTCAATAATAGGCCCACGACAACGTAATGAAATAAATGCATGCAATGTTGGGAAAACCAATGTCATTCTGAACCTTTGTCAACCTACAGTCAATACACAAGGTAGAGATAGTATGCCATCTAGTGACCAGTTGTTGCCATCATTGAAGGAATTTAATTGCAGCATAAGTAATAATGTCATCTCATTTTACATTTAAGTCATTTAGCAGACGCTCTTATCCAGAGCGACTTACAGTTAGTGCATACATTTTCATACTGGCCCCCCCCCGTGGGAAACGAACCCACAACCCTGGCGTTGCAAGCGCCATGCTCTACCAACTGAGCTACACGGGGCATGTTATGAATGTTATCATTTAGCCTCACGATATAACAAAATATATCAATTATTGCCTCCTGTCCAAGAAAAACCCAAATAGCATGGGAATAAATACATTTCAGAAACCTGTGCAATCTGAGGCTGAGCAAGAGAACAGATTTCTTTGTTTGTTATGACTCAAAATGAAAACAGGGGTTTCCTGGTTACAGGTAGACCTAGTAGGGTGGTTGGTCTGGTTTGGTTTGTCCTGTGAGAAGGAGGTGTGTGTCTGTGTCTGAATTACTATACTTAATTTATCTTACCTAAAAGATCGCTCAAATATTTTGAAGATGTAATGATATTTAGAATGTTACTGCATATTCCTACAGGACATTGATGATGCTTTCCAGAATAATGGAATCAGGAGGGACATTGAAGTCTGTCAACTTTACCTTGCCAGAAAGTAGTCTTATCATAACTTCTAACTATGGAATCTATAACTTAAGAATTTCAAATGAGGCCCTATTCATTGCAAGGCTGTAGATGTGATGTGACCTGTAAATTATAATTTGTTGGAAAATATAAATCATGTCAGTATATGCCAGTATTATGTTACATAAAATGCTTTTATGCAAATTACCGACATTTTAGTATAGAGGACTCGTCAATATTCCAGACTTGTCAAGATTCTCCGTGTTGAGATACTTATGGCTGAATAACAACAAGGTAGTGTAGCCAACATCACAAACAAATAATTGATACTGTGTACAGTTATATTAAATGTGGGAATGCGTGACACTAACACTAGGCAGCTCATGACAGAATAGCCAAGAATGGAAAAATATAATTTCCCATTTCCAATTCATAATGTTCTGTAAATGTTTAAAATGAACGAACTCTCCTACCATTCCCTTAACTGTTGCATGACAGAACTTTACCTCCAAAATAATAAAATAACATCTATTTCAGGTAAATATTACTATCTTTGTTTTCCTAAGCATATGCTATAACATTGCATTGCATTTCTTCTGTGTGAGTTTGTCTTGCTGTGGATCTGTGTTTTAGCAAGGTTTTTCTTATAACAAATTGCATCACGATGATATTCAGCGCATCCTCAAGCGCAGAAATGCCTGTCCTGTCTTTATAGCCTGTTCCCAGATCTGTTTGTGCTCTTGCCAACTCCATTGCAGTCATTGTCAAGACAAGTTCGGCATGAAAATTCCACATGGAGTTAAGAGAGCAGAAACAGGCTGGCACCCAGGCTACTGTCTTTACTGTATGTTTTCCATTCCCAGGCCCCTGGGACACCTAACCTGTCTTAGGATTCTTCTTCTGCACAACAACCAGATGAAGAGGCTGGAGGACTGCGTGGCTGAGCTGAGGAACTTGCAGCATCTCCACACTGTTAGTGAGTGAATAGGGATTCCACTGATACTGTGCAGTCCAAGGCCCTCACATTTGACATGGTTATGTGAGGAAGAAACTGATTTGACACAGTATTGAAGATGTGAGCTTGTTTGACAATTGCTTTTGCAGCTTTTTTCCTGAATCGCTTCTCACAAAAGACTGGATGTCGTCACTATGTGGTCCATAACTTGCCGTCAGTGCAGTTATTGGATAGAAGAGGTATGTTAACAAATATTGAAATCATATTCAAAAAATTGCAAAATAAGCAATTTACTACTGAAACTGTTACAGTAGATTGCTGTGTCGAGTCTGGGATCCTTGTTGAACCTAAAGTGATGCCCTGTTGACAGGTGAAGCAGGAGGAGAGGAACAGTTCATTACAGCTGTTTAGTACAGAATACCATTGTGTCCCCCAGTCCCTGGCATTTGGCAGGCGGGCAGAGACTCCTGCCAGCAGAGAGACTGGCATCTATGGGGAGGGACGACACCTTACTCACGGTAAAGCACAGTACTGTACCAAAGGAGAAAAGTATTTGCATTATATTGCAATTCAACAGCTTTTTTAATATATTGACTTGCAAATTGAGATATGCTATCAATTTGATATAGGTCACTATGGCTCAAGACAACGTTTCAAATAAGTCACAAATAAGGGATATGGGTGACTATCTCGTTACAAGTTCTACAATGTTACAATTGAATGTATGACTCCTAAAATATTACACATTTCCAACGTCTATTTATATGTGCTTCTCTGTGATGCTTATCTCTGTCCAGGAGCCCATTCGATGAGACAGCAGATCCGAGTGTGCGCAGGACCATGCAGAGATCTATCATGCAGTTCTCCACTGTGGACTGGAGGGCCATCCCCACCACCAAAGGAATGGAGCCAGCCAGGGGCCAACATCCTCACTGTCATGTTCAGATAACAGCACCAGCAACACAAGGGGTGATTCTCAATTGTATTTAACAGATTCTGCATGTCCTCTTTCCTTGGCTTCTTCTAAAAACGCATTGGAGAAGATCCCAGGGGAGGAACCTCAGATCTTCTGCTCCAATATGCTTTGAGAAGAGGAGGAGGATGTGAGGAAATACAATTGAGATTCACGCCTGGAGGTCATACCACTGTGGTGTCATGCTGTATGAGCCTGTAGAGGGAGCTCTAGCTGAATTAAACCAGTCAATAGAATCACAGTTTCCTCATTACTACTATACAACAAACAAACACCCCAGTTCAATGTTACACAGCACAGGATGAACTCAAGAGAACTCTGGAACTCTGGATTGGCATGATGGCACAAACAGACTGATACCCAGGCTAGTCTAATCTGTCATACCATCAAAAGCACATAGAGAGTACAGTGGTGTTTATTCTGTTGTATTGCAATTAGTCATTTGAGATCTTTGAAACATCAGTATTCAACAAAACAGAAAAATTGTTAGAGGGATTTGCCAAGTTGCTTTTCCAGGAGGAGGTTATAGTAACTTTAAAGTCATTTTGTTCTTGGCCAATTCAAGCCACTTTACTGTATGTTTGGAAATATGATGTCCTTTATCTTTTAACTAGGGCAATTACTGGACGCAGAATTACTAGTTTTAAAAGGACATGAACAAATAAAATATTGATTAAATCTACTACTACTTCTTTACATCACACTCCCTGAAGCACTTTCCATTATTCTTGAACAAAAACCATCAACATAATATTAGTCTACATAGACATTTCACATTGAATATGAATGCTGGAAAAAAGCTTAGACATTCGTGACCCTAACCTTTCTTCGTTGTGTGCAATAGTGCTGCGTTGCTTTGGTAGAAAACAATGTCAGATCATCAATAAATAAGGGATCCTTTCCCATCGGTTCAGGCCTGAAGCTTGTGTGAAGCTCCTGCGTACTTCATCCCCAGGTTAACTGTTGGGCCTTACATGGCAGGCCTCCCTAACACCTTCTAGGACAACAGTGTAGACCTGGAGTAGGGGAGATAGCTGGGTATATAGGCATTGTGCACCTGTGTTGAACATCCCTTACAGGCCCCCTTCAGTTCTCTGTGGCTGGAGTGGTGGAGTCAGGACTAGGGGGGTCTGCTTGGTTGTCGGAGGGGGAAGACGGAGAGTCTTCATTGGGTCCCACTGAGAGGTCCTGCATGGAGCCTGCCGCCTCCTCTACCGCCTGGCTCTGCTCTGAGAAACACATAAGGAACAAACTGTTAACATGACGCCTCGTAACACAACGCAATGGAAAGACTATTTAAGCTAACTACCACTTTTGAAGCATCCTATTCAAAACCAAGCATCCTTTCGTAACCAATGTGTTTAATGTATAATGTAATCCTTGGTCACTTAAAATTACAACGAAACATATACAAATTACACAAGAGGTGACACATGAAAATGTACAGTCCAAGAATATTTCTCCAATACCTTTCCTCTGTCGCTCCATCAGCTTGGCTGACTCTGCCTCGTGCTTTTCTCTCTGCTCCTGAAGCTGCTTGCAGACCTTCTTATGGGTGAACCAGTGCATTTTCTGGCAGGCTGGGGCACAGTATATCACCTATAGGAACACAAAAACGTTGCATGTGCGGGGCAAGAACAGAGGCCCATGCATCGGATGCAAGGACACATAGTGACAGATTGACCATTGCTATTGCAGTTCTATGAATGATGACAGTGGATATATGAATATAGCATTTTACTATATTGATATGAGTTATTGTGAGAAAATGGCATTGTGCCTACCATTTTACAAATGAAGCATCTCTTCTCTGCTCCCTTCTCCCCACAGGTGGTACAGAACTCTGCGTCCATGAAGCCCACCTGTCCTGTGATAGCCTGGGTCAAAACTGAGATGGCTGTAGGATCGTTACCCTGACCAGGACAGAAAGGGGAAATGGGAGAGAAATTCAAAATATACACAAGATATACAGTACAAACAATTGAAAATGACACTAAGGGTCACAGATTAAGCCTAAAAAGCTATTTTAAATGGGAATTCTTTATTGAGCATGCTTTTTAGTCCAGGACTAAGCTTAATCATTGTCCGGGAAACCGGCCCTAACAGTATAAAAGGTTAAAAGGTTATTAAGCCCAAAACAGGAAACTATTACAAGTGGAGTTTCACTCAAACTGACGTTGCAAAATCAGTCATTATTAAATACACAGACAGACATCACAAGAGAGAGCATGACTGTAAAAGCACTTTGTGACAACTATTAATGGAAAAGGGGCTTTATGGTTTGATTGAAGACTCACGATCTCCACAGGAGCGATACTTCGGACCAGCTGCTGCAGCAGTGTGGCGTCGCAGTAGGGGAACTTGCGGATGCACTCTCTGATGAACTTCTCCTGGAACAGCGGGAAGCCGTCACTGTCCCGGCCCTTCAACAAGCTGCATGGGGACAGCAATGACATCTGGGGTTATATGCATTGCAATACAGTATATATAACAATCAAAAACAGATTTAGTGTGTCAGAGTATTTCTACACATCATCAGTGAAGCCAGATATATGCATTTCATAGCAATTTCTTCCTTATCTTTCCGACTTTTTGCATTGACATCCTCTGTCAGTCCAGTTTAATAAAAAAATATCTATAAATAGAAAACAATAGTGTCCGGGAAACCAGCCCCATATGTATTTACATGTTCATATGTCTGGGAAACCAGCCCATACAATCCAAACCCCTCACCCACCTCTTGATGAGTCCTTCCAGCTTGTCGTCGCGCTCCTTGAGGAAGGAGCCACACTTCTGCAGCACACAGCTAATGTAGTGCATCTTCATGGCCAGCACCTCGTTCATGTCCTGCTGCTTCACACACTTCTCACAGATCAGCTCCATCACCCGCCGGCACTTCTCCAGGGCCTCCGCCTCGGCCAGCACTGGGTTCTCCTTCACCAGAAGAACCATCTGGGAGAGACAGAGGAGGGGGGGGGGGGGTGTCATACTCTATAAAAGGGTAACATAATCGCTCCCTATGTAGGATGCATTGCCAAAAGTCACATAACCCACTATTCCCCAAAAAGCTATGCTTTATAAAAGGTGACATAACGCACGGATAGGGTTATATTGGTGGTGGACTGTCTTTGTGTTTTGCCTTTTACAGTTCTCCAAAAAACGTGGCTTTAGTCTGAATAAGTCTGCTTTCTTTTTTTTGCCTGATATCCTTGGTGGTCTGAGTTGTCTGGTCATTATTTTGATCAAATATGGATCACTTAATATCTCACTCCAAAACCACAATTCCGTATTGTGACCCAGAGACAGCGGTGGTGGTCTTTTACCTTGACGGGGTTGAGGTTGGTGCTCATGATAATCTTGTGGAGGGGCCCTGCCAGTTTGGGGGGCAGCTTGGGCTCCTTCTCCAGCCCCTGGGGTTTGGTGTAGTACTCCAGCCTGGCCCGCGAGAAGAAGTTGTTGATCACCGTCACACAGTCATGCTGCCCTGGGGAGAGGAGAGAGGAGATACACCTGGGTAAGAAACAAGTTCCAATGTCTCACTGTGACAGAGGTTGCATTCATAAGGCTCCAAACAGAATGTGCCCTAATGAACATGACCAGAATAAAGGGCAGTGCCAATATGGAGTCATTCAAGTTTATTCTATGTCACAGATGTCACATATACTTCCTATTATATGTGATATCCTTACTGTACATACCGACAAACGCAGCCATCTGAGATGCTGTTCGCCCGACGGAGTTGACCACATCTGTCTCCGCTCCTGCATCTAACATCATCCAGGTGATATCAGTCTTACCTATATGGCAACGCGGGGAGAAAAAAGTTACTGCACACAGTCAAATCAATGAATTCACCACGGGGCCCCCTAATCTAAACAGGGATATCCTTTCTCAGCAATTTAACTGTGAGAAAATGTGCTTACCGGATAGCCCAGCGAACATCAGTGCGGTGTAACCATGCTCGTGTTCATTGCAGTTCACATCTGCCCCATGTTGCAGTAGCAGCTTGCACATGTCCGCCTTGCCCTTGTATGCAGCGTGCATGAGGGGAGTCATCCCATTCTGAGGAGGAGAAACAGAACTGCAAGTTGTATATGTTGTAGATATACATAATTTAAGTAGCTTATTACAGACAAATGATGCTGAATTAAATCTACACAAAGATATTTCCCATTGTACAGCATGGTAGAATGCACAATAAAGGCAATGAAATAGCGGAAATTAGCCTTTGCTAAACTGTGGAGTGCCTGGACTGGACTGCACTGCCTGCCACTTGATGAGCAGACATAGGCAATATTATTAAACAAAAAGAGATATGCTGCCTGTGGTTTCCTTACTGTCCAGTTTGCAGACAAATTATGAAGAGCATAAATCCATAACTTCAAAACTGATATCGATAACAAAAGAGACATTCTTGATCGTTGAAAAATCGAAACCATTTCTGCCTTTACCTCATCCAAACAGTTGACTCTGACATCCTTGCAACCCAATAATCTTGAGGCTTCTTGAACATTTCCTGAGAAAAAGCATCAAAGGTCAATCATTACTTGTACATGCATGCTATACCTTCAAGCGATTGTATTGCATTGGAAGCTAGGAACACTGCCTCCAGCTAACCAAGGCTTGAAACAACCAACAGTTGTCTTGTCTAGAAAACGGTATCAGCAATTTCATGAACTGGCTAGCTAGCTAACATAACGTCTAGTAGTCCTGTACAGTACTAGCAGAGTTTGAGATTTTTATAACTATCTGTGGTACTAGCTTGGCCAGCTAGCTACAGCAGTTAGCAAGTTTACAGGGCAATACAACTTGCTGGATTGAGCTATCAAATTAGCCATATAGCCACCATCATTAGCAACATAATTTAACACATTACATTACATACTAGCTAATGTGAAGTGGTACAGCAATCTCATATCTTATCTAGACTACAGTAGCAAGCGTACTGTCTAGCTAGCTAGCGTTAGCATTAAAGTAAAGAGGCTTTACCTGCAGCAATAACTACGAATAATTCCCTCTCGGTGGAAGATAGATCTCCCTTCTTCGGCGCTGACATATTGGCTAGAATTGTGTGTAAACAAAAAAATCTGTCAATGAAACAAGACAAATATGGATAATTATGAGTGACACTAAATTATAGACTGTCACGTTGTTTGGCTTTTCATTCTAAAGCTTGCTAGCTAGCTGCTGGGGTTAAACTGGTGTTCAGACTGTACCACGTTGTACAGTACAGGGGTAGGCATTGAAATTAATATTAATTCATTCAACTTTTTACTTTTCAATTGAAGATATTAACAGAGAAAGTAAATAATATGCATAGATATTATTGCAGTATACAAAATGTCAACACCTTAATTATTTATCATAATACGAACCGCTTTCAAAGCCCAAACTCCCCTCTTTTTCAACATTTGTTAGCAGTTCCACGGAAGTCTAGAAAGTTCATTCTTAATACGTTGAAGCATTTGGACTGTACATATTTGATATATTGTTGCTCTAGCAGTCTCAGTTTTCTTCAATATGTTTTAGATTATATTTGAGTGGGGTATAATTCATCACATTTGTCCATAAGCATGAGCACACTTTCATAACTTGAATAATACATTTTAAGGTGTTTTATTGAAAAGCAATAGTGTTGTTTATCAATGTCCGAATTAGAGGATAAAGGTTAGAGATACATTAGTGTCATAATCAGTCATTATATGCGCCCATTGTTTAAAAATTATTTTTCCTCATCATTGTAGGTTAAACGCTTACAAAAAAAGATTGCTGTTTTGAAACTGCAGTAAAAGTGCAGTGGTATTTTGGAGCAGCAATTGCAGAAGTTGAACTGCAGTTATACTGCACTCACTGCAGTTACACTGCAAAATTACTGCAGTAAAAAAAATGTTATTTTTGGATACTGCACTCTGACTGCCGTCTTTTTTTCGTAAGGGAATATTTCATGTGAAATGTCTTACGAGTGTAGCCTAGTCCTAGTAAACCTCAACATACACAGTATCTGGTGATTAAAATAACACTTGGATAATCACTCCGCTCAGCCGTCACAAATTTTTTTTTTGCGATGTTTGCATCATTTCAAGACGACCAATCAGGTAAGTTGCAAACCTATATCCCTGGACTTGTCCCTCCTTCGAATCCTGCCCACCTGTAAAACGCCCCAGACACTGTTTGTCATTCTATGATAAGATTTATTCGTTTTCCAATTTGGATACATTTGAGTCTGAGAATTGCTTTGTGCGAGAGGATAAAAAACGAAGATCGACAATGGTTTGCGGAGGATTTGTTTGCACCAAGAATTCCTTATGCGCGCTGAACATACTTTATGTTGTAAGTACCACGCATAGATGTTTCCATATGGGACCGAATTGTTTTTGATGAAAGGCTATTAATGAAAGTGCAAAAGCCAGCATGATTCTAGTCAAGAATGATATAGCCAGGGCAAGAAGGCTATCATGCAAATTAAGTCGTTGTGACAGAATGTCTCTCTGTTAATGCAAAGTCTAAACTATTGGTTCCCAACCAGGGGTACTTGGCCTATCCACTGGGGGTACTTAAGAAGCCTCATGATACCATAGGCCTACTGGTCAAATGCATTTATGGGATTACTTCAGGGGTACTCTGGGCAGAGCAAAATGTAGTTGGTGGTACAGTAACCGAAAAAGGTTGGGAACCGCTGGTCTAAACCATATCTGTATAGTGTGATTCAATTATCGTCATACAATTCTTGCAAGTAATGTATAATATAATCAAAATACTCAATGTGTGATACTTCCTAAATGTCTTAATAAATATTGTATTATGTATTCAATGTATGTATTTATTTAATGTAACTTCAGTCTAAACAGACTTTAATCAAGCTGAAGGTGGTAGCCTAAATATGAGATGGTGTTGACTTTGCATACATCAAAGAAATCAGCATGAAGTGTCCTTTTTGAGTGCTTTTCCGTTCCCAGTGGACTGCTGTCATCACTTTGTATTGTACTTGGTCTTCAGATGGTGAGCTTGCTGCTGATTGCAGTAGCTGCTTGGGGGAAGTGGTTTGGCCTGGTCTCCAGTTTTCGGGTGGTGGCTGGAGTCATTGGCGTGGGCATCTTTCTGTTATTTGTAGCCTTCGTGGGCCTCTGTGGAGCCCTGAAGCACCACCAGGTCCTGCTGTTCTTTGTATCCTTCAATTAGGAGTAGGGTGAAGTAGCCCCTTGACACTGAACTTGGGTCAGTTTTTTTTGCATTTTCCCAACTAATGGTTAAGATTAGGATTGGGGGAAGGGAAGGGAAGCTGATCCTAGACCCATTCACTTGTCATCACTGTCATGTGATATGATGCTAATAATAATAATAATATGCCATTTAGCAGACGCTTTTATCCAAAGCGACTTACAGTCATGTGTGCATACATTATTTTTTTGTGTGTATGGGTGGTCCCGGGGATCGAACCCACTACCTTGGCGTTACAAGCGCCGTGCTTGTTCTATTCATGTCACATATTGTTAGATAGTCAAGTGAATACAAATTACTACAACACAAGACATATTGAAACCCTTACAAAAAATATTGCCGTTTTGAAACTGCAGTAACTGCAGTTGACTGTGGTATTTTGGATGCAGTAATTGCATAATAACGGCAGTGTACTGCAGTTATACTGCACTCTAACTGCAAAATTACTGCAGTAAAAAAAACGGTTATTTTGGACGCAGTATTTGCAGCATACTGTAGTTATACTGCACTATGACTGCAATCTTTTTTCGTAAGGGAACAAACACTGAGGACTGCTGTATACTAGAGGATCTTAGTCTCAATGTGTTTTTAACTGCTCTACCCAGACTACTCTTAATAACTTATATTTTCTCACTTTATGAACAATTATTTCACAAATACACAGCCTAGGGTTACCTAGTTTGTTTCCAGTATGTTGTCACATGTGAGCTTCCTTAGTTGGCCTCAGTACATGATTATCCTGTTCCTGGTGTTCATGGTGCAGCTGTCAGTGTCTGCCGCATGTCTGGCTATCAATAAAGAGCAGCAGGTGCGTGACGATATATTATGTGTATAATGTGACTCATGACCACTTAATCTGTAGAACACCTTAAATAAATACTGGAAATCATTCACACTTTCTTTATGTCCTGTATTAGCCCTTTGACAAATGGCTAATGCACAACATAAATGGAAAGTGTGAACGGTTTCCAGTTGATTTCAAAGAAGCACTCTGATTGATGACATGCTGATTGAATTCTGTGACCAGAGCCTCCTTTCTCCATGCACCTCCTCATCCATTTCCCTCACTGTAGAAGGAACTCCTAGAGGTGGGCTGGAACAAGTCAGAGGCCACTCAGAAGGATGTGGAGAAAACTCTAAACTGCTGTGGCTTCTCCCATCCAAACTATAATGGCACCTGTGATGCGGTAAAGACGCTGGCTTGTTTTCAGTAAAAAACCAGGAAAATGTTTGTCAGATAGTCTTGAGTGATGGACACATGACTTAAATTCTGTCCTCTCCATTACTTCCTCACACTACAGGACTGTTTCTCCAACCCATTATCCTGCAACCCTTGTGCTCCAATCATCCAAAGTCATGCCGAGGAGGTTTTACGCTTTGTGGGTGGGATTGGATGCTTCTTCAGCTTCACAGAGGTTAGCAACCTGCTGTAGCCTCATAGCAATGCACTGACAATGGGTGGAATTTGCTGTGTAACATAGTAAAAGGCTGTGGGATTCCTATGTAAATTGGCACTGAAAACAGAACACTCTTTAGTGGGGAATTTTACTGTCTGCATTTTTATATTATGTCATCCATACACTCTACATTTTAGACTTGATTTTGGCTTTGGCTTCAGGAATTAATTCAACAATTCTAAATCTATGGATATCTACACTGAGTGTACAAAACATTAGGAACACCTGCTCTTTCCATGACAGACTGACCAGGTGAATTCAGGTGAAAGCTATGATCCCTTTTTGATGTCACTTGTTAAATCCACTTCAATCAGTGTGGGTGAAGGGGAGGAGACAGGGTAAAGAAGGATTTTTAAGCATTGAGACATTGATTGTGTATGTGTGCCATTTCGAGGGTGAATGGGCAATATTTAAGTGCCTTTGAACAGGGTATGGTAATAGCTGCCAGGTGCACCGGTTTGAGTCTCAAGAACTGCTACTCTGCTGGGGTTTTCACGCTCAACAGTTTCCCGTGGTTATCAAGAATGGTCAACCACCCACAGGCCATCCAGCCAACTTGGCACAACTGTGGGATGCATTGGAGTCAACATGGGCCAGCATCCCTGTAGAACGCTTGACACCTTGTAGAATCCATGCCCTGAAAAATGCAGGCTTTTCTGAGGGCAAAAGGGGGTGCGACTGAATATTAGGAAGGTGTTCCTAATGTTTTGTACACTAAGTGTATATTGCGCTTTAGGATTAATTTAATCACATATTAAGCCACATTTTTTCTGTCTCATTTCAGATCCTGGGAGTGTGGCTAACGCACATATACAGAAATCAGAAGGATTCCCGTCCAAACTCTAGTGCCTTTCTGTAACTAGCCCCAACTTTGCACTGTCATGGATTTGTATTTAGATTTTTGTACTTTGGAGATCATGGAGATCACGATTTTACAATGTTTCCTATTCAGATATTTCCATTACTGTGATAATATAACTATGTGTTGATATAACTAATACTATTGACTTTTTTTTGTCAAAGTCATTGAAAACAAACAATTCCAATCAATTTGAAACTTGAGTGATTATGAAGCAACCAAACTGCTTTCCTGTTGAAGCAGTGACGGACACTGAAATTGAGAGCAGTTACTTTAAGGTTTAATCTGACTGAGGTCATTGATCGGAGTCGTGAGCAAATGTCATACACCAACCATGCACACCTTATGCAAACAGAGCACAGACAGAGGGTAAAGGCAGAGAGAAATGTTTTGTGGTTAGGTGTCTGGCTTCTTTGGGTACCTACACAATGCTGTCTTTGTTGCAGTGTATGGGGGGGTATTAGATGTCACACGGATGCTGACAGATTCATCCTTTTATTCAGATTCAGCTCTACTAAAGTTTAGCTAGAGTTGATCACTTCACAGGACATGTACCAATCCAAACATTAAGCTTTTTGGTATTTTTCTGAACAATTAGGCTATATCGTTCCTATTCATCTGAGAACTGAAAGCATCAAGCATTACTCACTGATTTGGTATCCGTTCATATTGCAACCCATTTCTAAACATATAGTGTAGGCTATTATCACTCACACTGTGACAATGTCACAACCAAAAGTACAATTCTCAAAATGAGCTTCATGAAGAAATGTTACTGCTGATTTATTTTTCAAGGGAAATAGGGTAGTGTGACTTCAATGCTTCCTCCGAATCACACTAGTTTTACTGTTCTCCAGTGAACATTGGGGTTTGAATAGAAACTTGCCTTGCCTCATTTGTCCAACCCCATCTGAGATCTACTTTAGTTACAGAGCACAGTGAGTTGCAATGCAGTCTTATGACCCAGTAAGAATGTTAATCACGCCTTGGCTACATTCCTGCCTTTCCAACCAGGATAGGAACCAGGAACCAACTGTGGATTCCCTTCAATTCTTCTATAGGCTGCCCAACCTGTTCATGAAGGCATCACCATACGGAAATCAATCAAGCTTAACACAATCAGTTGAAGCAAAGCTAAACAAACTGGCTCTTATATTTGAATGATCGACGTTGTACATGTGGAACAAGTATGTGAGCTGTTCTGTGATAGTAATGTGTTGCTAGTGTAAAGTGCAACTAGTTGTCAGTGATGACATTTTTCACCATGCAAATGACCGTTGTCAACTGGTCGATCTTCGAGGCATTCATTGTCGATCACCAAACATTTCTGTAAAAAGACAACGCTAAAAGCTGTGATAAAGGTTGAGCGCATTTCCCCCCCGCTGATGACGGTAGGTGCACTTGATTTAGAAGCCTTGCGCACCGGGTAAGCAAAGTGTTCCCATTTTTAACCATTTTATTTGTCTGAAAACCCAGCTGACGGGAGATCTGTGGCTAAATCGAGTAAGCGTACAAGCTGACCAATCGGATCGCTCAAATCACCGTGGCTACAGCGCTCACTACATCAGCCACAAAGTTTGATACTAGTTTACGTAAGATGTAATAACTTAAAACCATGACTACAGAGAGACTGTCAAAGAATACGTCAAAGAGCTGCTGTTTTTATGAGTGAGTTCATGTTAAATGTTTTATTCAGCACCGTCTACACTTTCTATTCAACACTATTACAAACGCGCTTCTCCCTGCAGCTGTAATGAATGGGTAGCCAAGTGTATCTACAGCCCTGCGTTTTTATTATTAGCAGCTCGTGTCTATTTTTTATATCGAGGAATATTTCACTTTCTATGGTCATAGGAACAACCGGGAACTTGGAAATCTCCGAGTTCAATGCAACTGGGAACTCTGATAAAAACGAGATCCGACTGTGAAAGTTAGTTTTGAACCGTCATCCAAGACAGAAACTCTGGCATCTTTCTAGACCTCCGACCTGAAGATCACCGAGAAGAACAATATTGGCAGGCCAGGCATATAGCCACTACGCTGTGATAATGTATTAGGCCTATTGCACAAACCTCATTCTTATATAACTTTTTTTAGGGTGATGTTACAGTTAAGTCACATTTTAAAAGATTAAAGTGAGCGATAGCGCTCTGCTTGCTTTTTGACTGTGAAAGTGATCTTCACTCAAAGGTTGGTGACCACTGCCCTAGACAACTGAAAGGTTGGTACTTATTGCTTTTCCACAACCACCATTAAACAACGTTGTGTACTTGGCCTCCCGAGTGGCGCAGCGGTCTAAGGCACTGCATCGCTAGAGGCGTCAATACAGAGGATGTATCACAACCGGCGGTGGAGTCCCATAGAGCGGCGCACAATTGGCCCAACGTCTTCCGGGTTAGGGGAGGGCTTGGCCGGAGGGGCCGTTCGCCTGCATGGTGTTTCCTCCGATACATTGGTGCGGCTGGCTTCCGGGTTAAGAGGGCGGGTGTTAAGAAGCGAGGTTAGGCGGGTCATGTTTCGGAGGATGCATGACTCGACCTTCGCCTCTCGAGCCCGTTGGGGAGTTGCAGCGATGAGACAAGATAGAAATTGTGGAATAAAGAGGGGATAAACTTGTGTACCAAGTTCTTTATTCAGCACACTTACATTCATGTACCAAACAGCATTTACTTTCATCCCATGAAAGCATACTCTTGAAATAAGCCATTTTTATTTTCAGGGAAGCTAAATGAAAAACACAAAACAGGTATAGGCACGATAATATTAACATGGTAACAAAACAAAATGGTGGAGCATTGCAAATGTAAGGTAAAAAGTCAATCATCCATAAAATAAGACCCAACAAACTTGTCAAATCAGGTGAGTGTTACATCACAGGGAGGGCAGAAAACAAATAGGCACTGGAAAAGTAAAAATCAGTCAGAGTAATTTAGTCAAAAGGAAATGCTAAGGTGTCTACGGTATTAAAATAATTGGTAGGGGTAAAACTGCTTTCAGTTGTGATACTGAGCAATCCAAAAAAGTAAAAAGGAAGGATGGTGAGGATGTATACAGGTTGGTTAAGTGTAAAATCTGATTAGGCTGCAAAACAAGTTGTGGTTAGGTTATGAGTCTGAGGAAAAAGCTGTGTGTGTGTTGGGGAACTGCTGAGAGCTGAAGTCTGGGTCCTCTCTCACTCGCTTCTTTATGTCTTTCTTCACCTGATGCAGAGGACATAGGTGACAAATACAAAAAGGGTCGTTCAATATATATTATTTAGTTATAACTCATCAGCTACGTCGTTCAATATTGAAAATCACATAACCAGTGGTGTAAAATACTTAAGTAGTACTTTAAAGTATTTTTACTGAAGTAGTTTGCTTTACTAAAGAAAATAATGTACTTTTTACTCCATACGTTTTCCCTGACACCCAAAAGTACTCGTTACATTTTGAATGCTTAGCAGGACAGGAAATGCTCCAATTCACACACTTATCAAGAGAACATCCCTGGTCATCTCTACTGCCTCTGATCTGGCGGACTCACTAAACACAAATGCTTTGTTTGTAAGTGTTGGAGAGTGTCCCTGGCTATCCGCAAATGAAAAAAATAACATATTTTATTTATTTAACTAGGCAAGTCACATTGTGATGTCTGGTTTGCTAAATAAGGAATTTACATTTACTTTTGATACTTAAGTATATTTAAAATCAAATACTTTTACTCAAGTAGAATTTTACCCAGTGACTCACTTTTACTTGAGTAATTTTCTATTAAGATATCTTTAATAGAAAATGGGTACTTTTCCCACCACTGCATATCAAGTCATCAGTGGCAGCTCCCTAATGGCCATTTACAATCATGTGTCAAAGTCAATGTGTGGCATCTCTAATATTAGGAGAAGCCATGGAATGATGAAACAGGTTGTTTTTCTGTTAGTGACAGTGTTAGTGGAAGACTGTACCTGCTCTGCATAGGCCTCCTGGAGCTCAGGGCTGTCAAGCTCCTCTTGCAGGCTGTCTGGGGAAGTGACCGGCCTGACTCCGGCCGTCCTCGCTGCCCTGCTCACTGTGTCGGAGAGGGAGAGAAGAGCACCGTCCCCCTGTCCGGTCTAAAAAAGTAATAATTAAAAACACACCCTGGTCATACTCTAATCCAACTTTTAGTGCAAGAATAAGCTCTCGCACTCAGATGTTGAACATAGCATGCTGATACTACAATTTTACATTTACATTTACGTCATTTAGCAGACGCTCTTATCCAGAGCGACTTACAGTTAGCACATATATTATTTTATCAAACCCACGACCCTGGCGTTGCAAACGCCATGCTCTACCAACTGAGCTACATCCCCTGGCGGATTCAGTCCTGTCCTGGGCACCACTCCGACACACTGAGACACCATGCCATCGGGTATACCGCAGCGTATAACCCCATACAGAGCCGATTCAACCACGGATCTTGAGTGAGGTTAGCCTAGTGAGCACAGCGCCATTGTGGGATAATGTACTACATGATCATATTTCATTCCCTGATAAATCAAGTAGAGGAAAAAAGTATTTATCACCAATTGTCAAGTTCTCCCGTTAGATGAAGAGGCCGTAATTCACATAGGACAGAGTAACAGACAGAGGCAAATGAGAAGAGGAGTGCAAAGGAGCTAACATGTAGTTTTAAGCAGTGTATGTGCAATTATGGAAATAGTCTGGTCACCTCCCACGCAAGAGCTTCGGCTCTCCAGCTGAACCCATTGGCGCTAGGCTCCTCCTGTCCTCCACCTTCCCTGTATTATCGGCCCTGTTGTGATCTGGTTATCGTTGAAGCCCTGTGCAGCAACCTGAAGTCACCTCCAATCCACTATGGCCAAGACCAAAGAGCTGTCAAAGGACACCAGGAACAAAATTGTAGACCTGCACCAGGCTGGCAAGACTGAATCTGCAATAGGTAAGCAGCTTGGTTTGAAGAAATCAACTGTGGGAGCAATTATTAGGAAATGGAAGACATACAAGACCACTGATAATCTCCCTCGATCTGGGGCTCCACGCAAGATCTCACCCCGTGGGGTCAAAATGATCACAAGAACGGTGAGCAAAAATCCCAGAACCACACGGGGGGACCTAGTGAATGACCTGCAGAGAGCTGGGACCAAAGTAACAAAGCCTACCATCAGTAACACACTACGCCGCCAGGGACTCAAATACTGCAGTGCCAGACGTGTCCCCCTGCTTAAGCCAGTACATGTCCAGGCCCGTCTGAAGTTTGCTAGAGTGCATTTGGATGATCCAGAAGAGGATTGGGAGAATGTCAGATGAAACCAAAATATAACCTTTTGGTAGAAACTCAACTCGTCGTGTTTGGAGGACAAAGAATGCTGAGTTGCATCCAAAGAACACCATACCTACTGTGAAGCATGGGGGTGGAAACATCATGCTTTGGGGCTGTTTTTCTGCAAAGGGACCAGGACGACTGATCCGTGTAAAGGAAAGAATGAATGGGGCCATGTATCGTGAGATTTTGAGTGAAAACCTCCTTCCATCAGCAAGGGCATTGAAGATGAAACGTGGCTGGGTCTTTCAGCATGACAATGATCCCAAACACACCGCCCGGGCAACAAAGGAGTGGCTTCGTAAGAAGCATTTCAAGGTCCTGGGGTGGCCTCGCCAGTCTCCAGATCTCAACCCCATAGAAAATCTTTGGAGGGAGTTGAAAGTCCGTGTTGCCCAGCGACAGCCCCAAAACATCACTGCTCTAGAGGAGATCTGCATGGAGGAATGGGCCAAAATACCAGCAGCAGTGTGTGAAAACCTTGAAGACTTACAGAAAACGTTTGACCTGTATCATTGCCAACAAAGGGTATATAACAAAGTATTGAGAAACTTTTTGTTATTGACCAAATACTTATTTTCCACCATAATTTGCAAATAAACTCATAAAAAATCCTACAATGTGATTTTCTGGATTTTTTTTTCTCATTTTGTCTGTCATAGTTGACGTGTACCTATGATGAAAATTACAGGCCTCTCTCATCTTTTTAAGTGGGATAACTTGCACAATTGGTGACTGACTAAATACTTTTTTCCCCCCCACTGTAGCAAGGCTCCATGTTTTAGCCATGAATAATTCTGCCAACAAATCTTGCAGGATGCCTTTTATAACTAAAGACTAGTGAGATCAGGGCTTATCTTTTGTACATAAAGGTTAGTTTCATTCACAGGACCGCACAGGCAATCTCTATTTACCTTCCTGCGTTTGGCAGGCATCCCATGTAAATAGGCGTCAGACATGGGAGGCTGGGCCTTCATCTTCCTCTGGGTGATCAGGTCATGTCTGATGATGGGCACCCACTCCTATCACACAGAGAACAGACAGTTATAAACTCACTATACAGAGCCATACAACTGCACACTTGATTTTAAGACTTGAATGGGTTTGGATAGAGGTCTGATTAGGCTAAACACTTCCATTGTGGGATAATTTCCTTTCATATAGCTTATTTTCTTTCTCCAAGAATCCGAACTACAAGTCAACGAAATTCAGTATAAATTCAACTAGAAACCTGTATGTAAAAAAGAGAAAACAGCATGTGGACAGAGTAGAAGACAGAATGGCAAAGCAAACAGCAGGAGTGGAAGAGAGAGCTAAACAGTGTTCTTACAGCAGGGACGGCAGCAGCCCAGGCCTCAGTCTCTCCACCAGGCTCCTCCCTCCCGCTGGCTTCAGCTGCTGCCATGGTGCCACCCAATGGCGCAGCCCCTCCGGTGGCTCCAGTTTCCCTGGGCTCCGCCCTGGTCTCCCGTGACGATGCCATGGCTTCCTCAGCTGTGGTGGCCGGGGCTGGGGAGTGGGTGTCCTCCATCTAAGGTGGGATGGAGAAAGAGAAAAGAGAGTTAAGGTGAGGAACTAAAGCGTTAATACACCAAGGTATATTGAGGCCAATATAATGAATCTCACAAATAAATGTGAAATAGTCACCTCGATGATCTGGGCACGTTCAGGCTCCTGTGCATTAGAAGCCTCCCCCTTGGAAAGAAACCATTTAACATGTATTGCTTGAGTGGAAATCTGGTAATGGAATCTATGACAGCTATCATAACGGACTCTTGATTAGCAAATGATTATGGTATCCATGTGCATCGTTAGATTTAGTCCAGTAAATAAGCCTTCTAGAACACAACAACACTGACCTGTTGGTGAGATGGTGTGTGTGTTAATTACCTGCTGTGTGTAGATGGCATAATGCAGTATCTGGTCCTCTGTGACAGGGATGTGCTCCAGGATGACCTGGAGCCTCATAGTCATCATACTGGTCAGCCAGTTCACCAGGCTGGGATTCATATCAGCTGACAACGTCCTCTGTAACGGGAGAGGGGGTCAACACACCTATTCACCGGTCTATGGGCCGTTCACAACCTATTGACGAGATTTCAGTCTAGTCATATCCATTTAGCTATTTTTTCAAATTTATAGAAAGAGTATTGTAAATCATCTTTTACAGACAGACAGACAGACAGACAGACAGAAGGAGGAGAGACATTGATTGTGAGGTTGCAGATCATGTCATCAGGATCATGTGTGTGTACTGACTATGCGGTGGTTGATGACAGAAGTGAGGGCACTCTGCTCTCCTCTCAGACAGTACAGGTTGAGGGCCAGACACTCAAACAGCCCCTGGTTGCACATCTGCAGCAGCTGCGGCCCAAACGTGTTGTCTGCAGAGGTGAAAACACAGCAATAGGTGACAAAATAACTGACATTCATAGGCCAGGTCAGATGAATTGCGTCAAATAATGGAATTTGGCACAATAAAGCCACTTCAAGATAAACAATGACAAATAAAAGACAGAATATGTTACCTGTGCAGCATAAAATATGCGTGGCGATACGCGTTAACTGCTGTCTGAAGAAGGACAGGTTGGTCTGAGTGATGTTGACACCCTCCAACACTGCCACTGAAGACTAAAAGGACCAAGACAAAGAGAAATGTGAGGGATTGATTCACCAACTGGCCACGGGGAGAATTTAAAAGCAACTGATATTATTGGGCAATTTGAAGACCACTGACTAAAAAGTGGGCAGCCTAAGTGAACTACGGTACTTACAAAGCTCTCGGTAATGTACTCCACAAGCTCATTGGTGAGACCATCAGCAGCAGCCTAAGATCACAGTGAAAATAACAACATAAAGAGAGAACCAAAGAGAAAGAGGGAGAGATGAGACTCATCAAGTAGCTCATCTAGCCCCATGTGCAGTGACAGTAATGACAGGTGACAGTAACATCACAGATAGAGGCGGTTATATAGACGGTGGCCCACTCACAGCGATGTTGTGGTCGGTGGGCTCCCTCCCGTTGAGGTAGTGCTGGGTGAAGAACTCAGCCAACTGGGTCTGGATACGGCCCAGGGGCTGGTTCTGACCATGGAGCAGCAAGACCAGGTCCACCATGGAGAAGTTCTGACAGACCAGGGTCAGTAGGTCTCCAAAGAAACCTGAGGGAGAGACACAACTGTGTGGACATGGAACAAAAACATTGAGGAAGAGAGCGCACGGGAGAAAAAGGAGGAACGCGGGAGAAAGAGATTACACTTCATAGACAGAAAGAGAGCAAGGTAGAAGAAAGCAAACAAGACAGAAACTCTTACCCATGGCGTCCCCTGTGCCGGGTGTGAAGATGTTGCTGGTCTCGGAGAGCCTCTGGATGAACTGGGCGATGCTCTCAGTGTTGCTCTGGGGAGAACCCAGGGAGCCCATCATGGTGGACAGGACCCCCTGTACAATCCCAGTGAACAGCTCTGGATTCAGGGCCTCTCCCTGGGCCCCGGCACCGTCCCCTGTGGGAGGGTTAGGGGTGGTCCCGGGTGGAGGGGTGGGGGTGCCAGGGGCAGGGGGCTGGTGGGCACCGTTTGGGGGGGGTGAGAAGACTGGTCCGGAGGCCTAAGATAGAGAGCGAGATGATGGACAGGGAGAAAATAAAATGTATCATATGAAAGATATGTAGTTAAGAAACCATTATGGTATTCTTACAACTAACACATCAGTTAACTGGAGGATGATGTAATCTTGGTTTCAACCATTCTGTTGTAACAGGCACTACGGCTATATGTCCTAATCCACAAAACAGCCTTGGAACAAACTCTGATCCAGACACTGACCTGCATGAAGTCAGACACTCCCTGGACGAAGGCAGGCACTCCGGGCATGGTCACAGTGATGGAGGGTCCCATGGCCCCAGGAACTGCCCCCGCTGTCCCCAGGAGAGAGCCCAGGAGCTGGGCCAGTTCAGGGGGAGCTCCCTGGGGCATGGTGGGGATGGCGCCGGGCTGGCCTGGGGGAACAGTGGCGGCAGGGGTGGGGATAGGGCCAGAGTAGGAAGAGTTGGAGGAGGATGAGAAGGTATGAGAGGCAGAGGATGTGGATGTTTGACCAGCTGGGGGGGAAGGAAGACAGGAGAGGAATTAGAGTCGGCTTACAGTACACTTAAAACACTGATAACACTTCAAAACAGAGGATTAACTTTTAGTGTGATGGTTAACTAGGCAATGTTTTCCCCCCCCACAGCCACCAAAAAGAAGAGGCTAGAAAGGTGGGGTGTATATTGTCTTTCTAAGACAGCATACCCATCTGTCCAGGCATCAGGAGTTGTCCCACCAGTCCACTAATCATCTGATTGAGGGCAGCAGGAGGGAAGGGCTGTGGGGGAGAGGTCATAGGTCAACACAGTGTCCATTAGCATATAAGACAAATACAAACATGGCTATGCCATTAAGACTTTCAGAGCACTACAGTTTGAGACAATTGGTACTGTCGATGGAAAATGCCCACAATGACTAGCAAATACAAATACCTCCTACTGAAATTCCAAGTCTTGACAACTTCTTGTCAAAACTTGACTGAAATCTACAAGCCATTAACCCCAGTCCTGCACTAAACCCATAGGGCACCAAACCCCCTATCACAAACGTGCTCACCTGTCCTGGTTGCTGACCCATCATGGGGGGCACGCTAGCCCTCAGGTTGATGGTGGCCCCCCGGGTGCCAAAGGCGGGTGGAGGGATCCTGGGGGCAAAGGCGGGCCGGGTGAACACCACCCTGGCCTGGGGGGCCCCGGGAGAAGGTGGAGGGGGTGCCGTGGGGGTGGTGGTGGGGGTGTTAGGGCCGGTGGTGGTGGTGGAAGAGGTAGCGGTGGAGCCTGGTGGGGTAGGCTGGGGGGGTTGGCCAGGGACGGCGCCCCCGGTGGCAGCAGCCACAGCCTCGGTGTACTGGGCGATCTGCTGCACAATGGACTGCATGAAGTCTGGGTTCATCTGAACACCGGGGGGCATCTGGAAGCCTGGGGAGAGAGGATAAGAAGATTTCTTCGTGCCTTGAAAATTGGATTCAGGATCTCTGGTATATAGGGCTTTACTCTAGTCCCCAGTTATTCGGAGATACAACCAGAGGAACTAAACCATCATCATGAAGTGTTACCAACACTCACCTGGCTGACCCGTTCCTGCAGTGTTTGGCTGTCCAGCTGCCTGAGGAACACCAGAGTCTGTACACACACACACACATGTTTGAACTGTAAACAGTGTGTAAAAACAAATGGACTCTATGGTTTAAGAAGAAAAAAAAACACCCTTCCTAAATTGAACGAGACCTATCGATTTGAGCAGTACAGGGACCTGTACGGTACTTTGACTATTGGTCAAAGAAAGAAAACTTTCTCTCAGCAAATATCATTTGGCAATAAATGCAATGGTAGAGTTATTCACTTCCAAGGGGCCATTTGTGGACGAGAAAAATATTGACATGTTGTGGTAAAGCATTCAATCAGTGGCGGGTAGGGGACAACACACCGTCCGTGTTCATCTGCATCATGACCACCGGCATTGTCTGGTGGCTGATCCTGATGACCCGGGGGCCGGGCTGTCCCTGTCCAGCCTGCTGATTGGACAGTGGAGGCTGTGAGGGGGAGGTCTGTCCCTGACCTGGCTGGTCCGATTGGCTGGCGGCCTGACTGGGCTGGGCCTGTCCCTCTGTAGCTGGTCTGCCATTGGACGCCATTGTGACAGTGGCTCCCAGGTTCATCTGCAGATTAGTTTTCAAATGTAAATGACGTACTGTGTTCCATTGGCAAACGATGATATCAAATGAAGTTTAAATTAACCAATATAAACTAAATATGTAAGATAGAAATAATGTAATAGGTGTAAGTGTCTGCCAGGTCACAACAAAACAAGTTTGACAATGGGATACAACACTGACTAACATGTAGTGGGATGTGGTGATGCACGGCTCCAGGCATGGTGACTGGGGAGGTGTAGTGAGACATTGGCCGGATCACATGTAGGTGGCGTGGGGTGGGGCTCAGCAGGTTGCAGCGCAGGTCGCTAAGGGCAACCAGGGCGTTGCCCAGGAGACGGAGGGCCTCCCCCACCAGGTTGAGAATCCGCTGGTCCTCCTCTCTCTCCTGCGTGTGACAAGAGGGCTTAAGACATTTTCTGAGAACATGTTTTGATATTTTATTCAGGTAGTCTTGAGGGAAAAGTGACAAGTATTGTAAGAGTCCGACTGCAATACAGCAAACAATCATGACTTTCTAAATCTGATCAGTGCAAGTGAATTGTACTTAACCACAAAGCTCTAAGTTTGGCTTACGGTGTTTGCGTATTCTACGGTGGCAGCAGACTCTAGGATAGAGTGTGTTCTCTGGATGAACGGCTGAAGCCTCTCCTCCGCCCTCCTCAGCTCTGACAGCATCTCCACCAGTTCTGCTGGGCTGGGGTGACTGTTGAGGGGAGAGAAGGGATGAGGTATCCTTATTTACATGCATCACAGGTCTTCTAATAACAACCACGATGACTAAAGCCAAGTTTCATGTGTTGATGTCAATAGGAGATTCTGTGCGAAAGTGTGAAAATTGTGCGTGCATGTCTCAAGTTCCAGATTAAGCCCTATTCTTCTTAATTCACATTAAATGGCCAAAACAAGTTTGATAACTTTTGAATTCAGTATAGAGCAAAAAAACAAAACATGCAGGACAGCGATAGTTAGCAATAATGTCTTACTTTGGTCCAGCTTGGGCGGCTCCCTCTGTTTGAGTGGAGGAAGAGAATGATGGAGGGGTAGTAGATGGAGGTGGAGACGTGTCCATGGGCTGGGTGGAGGGAGAGGGAGTGGAGGAGGAGGAAGAGGAGGGAGGAGGTGCAGTAGCAGCAGAATCCGGTTGGGCTGAGGTGCCACTTGGTTGACCCTGAGATTGAGCGACAAGGTAGTAGGTAAGGGGAGGACATTGCTCAGTCATCTTAATTGAATTACTTCGAACTCAAATAGACCTGCTTCCTGAGACTGCCTAGAATATTTTCAAATAACATTTGTCCAAATACGTTAATTATGTTTAACGTTTGAGCCAGTGTATTCATTAAAAAATTGGTCTGTACTGTGGGTATTCCTAGTTGTTCTAATCTTAAACTTAACACCTCACCTCCATCCTCTCGATGAGGGCATTTGTGTCCCTCAGCAGGTTCTCAGCCAATAGCAGTCTCAGCCTGGGCTCACTCTGCACCGATTGGTCCATATCAATGTGCACATTCATGGAACCATTGCTCTGTGAGAGCAAGAGTATTAGTTGACAGCTACTCAACATGTTCATTCATAGCCTTTTATAAATGTATATAGAAATTGATAGATAAAATCCATAAATGAGGATGTATACTATGTTATAAATCATATATTCGATTTCTTACCCCGGTGCTGGTGCTGACTCTGGCATTCCTTGCATTCTCTCCCAAGCCTGACATCATTTGCTGGACTGACATCTAAGAAGAGTGTGGGAGACAGTATAGGCTCGATATCAGTACTGATCCACACCAGGCGCTTAGGATATCATAATAAACCATGGAACCAAGACAAATTTGATCCAAAAACAGGTATAACATACACACTCAAAAGCTGTACCTGGATCTGCTGAGGGTCCATGACGTTAACCGGGAGGTTGAAGGTTCCCAGCATGACATAGCTGTTGGCGTTGCGGTCGTGTGGAGGCACTTGGGACGTTCCCTGGGAGGTGGTAGAGGAGGGCGGCGCTCCGGCCTCCGCTCCCCCTGACCCCGATCCTGGCTGGGAGGGCTGAGGGGGGGCCCGCTCCACCAGGTGGATGACTTTTCCACTGACGTCTGAGACACAGAGGAAATAGAGAACAAGGAATATCATCTCTATTCATGTTAGAGGACACAGGTGCTCCATTAACCTATCCAGGTGATGTGCATAGCAGCCAAACGGCTTACAGCAATTACATGATGGGTACTCAAGAGTTCTGATGGTGTGCAGTTGTGTAATAAGCCTACATCTGTGCATTATTGGCCTTGTAAGTCATGGATTAAGTGAATATGAGGGTTATTCTATATATCACATATAGACAAAGATGTCTGTCTGTTTGCTGCATTTCTGTTCTTTGTTGACAGATGCTTTGCTGCAGCTACTACAGATAAAACTGTCTGGACTAATCTCATGTTTGTTAGCATGTGGCCATTTTGTATTGATTCCAGGCAGCTCCACAGACAGCATTACTCACTGTACTCTGTCAGGGTCCTCTCATCCTGCAGGACTCGACCCTGGTAGATCAGCCTCTGTTTGTCCACAGGAATCCCCACTGAAGTGGCAATGTGCTCCTTGAACTCTTTCACTGTCAACTGAGAAAAAGACACTGGTGTGAGGATTAGGCCTATATCCAGTATATGTAAGGCTACTGTAAAAGCGCCCCGTTGGAAATGAGAACGTACCTGTCCGCCTACAGTGTAACTTCGGACTCTGGGAGTCCAAAGTTTTGACAGTCACTTCTATATCAGCACCCAGGTTCCTCCATGGTTACGTTTACCCTGTGTGTCAAGTAACAGAGGCAATAGAATAGATGATCATATCAATGCTGTCATGAATAGCATTATGTAAGGGTTAATCAACGAGGGGCTACGCGCCAGCGGCGTGGAACTAACCTTCCACAGAGTTGCATTATTTTCCAGAGCCCCGAGTTGATTACCCATTTCATACCATGACTATAAGATAAAGCTGCAATATGTAACTTATTGGGCAACCCGACCAAATTCACATAAAATTTGTTATGATCTGTCATTCTCATTGAAAGCAAATCAAAGAAGCGGTAAATCTGTTCTATGTGCGCTATTTCTATGCTCATCGTTTACTTTAGGTTTAGTACCCCAGCTTCAAACAGCTGAAAAAACAATATTTTTGGTTCGAAGCGGTTTAGATGGTACAATGCAACCAAGGAAATGGCACAGTAATTTCTGCATAGTGCACATTTAACACATTTGCGGCTAGAAATGTGTTCATTTGCAGGTACAAATGTGTTCAACATCCACTGAAGTAGTTAGCAAATGTACTATATCGCTATAGTAGTTGCCTTGGTAACCAAACAAACAGACTTACTAGTTAAGCTAACCAAATCATCAGTCTAAGCTTGCTATTATGAAAATCGAATTCAATAATGTTTCAATTCGACTGTTGCTATAAAAAGCAGCTCAAACGTAGAAAATGCAAGAATGAACTATAGCCATTAAATTCTACCATGCTGATTTACCATGCGTTAACAGGGAAATAATGCATGCTCTAGAATGCTCTTCAAGCCAATCAGAAACGAGTATTCAACAATGCCATGGTATAATGTAGCTAATATAATTTAAATAGGTTAGTTACCTAGCTAACTTTAACTAGCTAGCTAAATACTGACTAAACAAAGATAATATGTGGTCTAACGTTAATGGTCATCATGGAAGCTGCCATAGCTAGCTACAATAGCTAGCTAGCTGACTGGCTAACAGCCTTGCCTTGAAGCAAACATGGCCAAACAGAACCTTTTCATGTCAGCGTTCTCTTGATATACATCCATATTAATTGTAAATCGAACTTCTACAAAAGTGATGGTCCAATACATTTCACACTAATATTGACATTATAAAACGCCAGTGAAACTTGTAGCAAGGTAGCTCACAGCTACGTTAGCTTCTAGCTAGCAGTTAGCTAGCTAGCCTTGAGCTAACGTTACCATTAGCTGTATGAAGTCAGCTAACGTTAGCTAGCTACCTTCCTACCAGCTAGTTACTTATTTAACTTACTTGATAGCTCCTACCTGTGAAGTTAAATCTTTTGAGTTCACCAAAATGTTTGCCGATTATTCAGTGTTGAATGTAAAGCTAGCTAGTTCCTCCTAGATGATGATACGTCTACACATATAGCAACTGCGGTTAAAGTAACGTGACATATGATTAGCTAGCAGAACAGCTGTGACGTTTCAAACATACAGTAACAAATGGGACGTGCTAATGCAGTCAGTTCAACATGTTTTGCTTATAGCTGCTAAATGGATCTGCTAGAGAATATCCCCAGTGCAGTTATATGAGCAGATGAAGGTAAGGTGGGGATGTTTTTGTTAAAACCAGGCCTGTAGGAAATTAGGGGAAACAAAGAGGTCCAAGACCTCATTAACAAAGTGAGACTTCATGATTTCCTCTTTCTTTAAAAGGCATCCCACCAAAGTGAACAGGGCTTCCAGTTCCGACAAAGGCCTGAGACCTCAGGGGTTATCAATTCAAAGTTATGTAGCGATTGAGAGAGGAAGAGTGGGGCTTGAAGGTGGAAGTATAATAAAAGGGAAACAAAGTGTTTCTCTTTTCCTTTCTTGAGACTTGTTTGTTGTTTGATAACTGCAAGATAAGTAGGAGTTGAAAAGCAGAAAGAGATGTGCCTGTCCTATACAAAAAAAATTATACTATGCAAACAAAATATAATCTGCACATAAATAAATGCTGTCTGAGTTTGCATGTTTTGGCTGAAGCCAAAATAGGCATGGTACACTTGTGGGAGAAGAGCCTATCGCTGGTGCATGTCAATAATCCTTCATCTCCTTTCCTACCGTTTTATTTTACTAATTTAACAGAAACTCTAATCAAGACACTAACCACTAGAGTATTTTCTAGTATGTAATATGGAGGATGACCATCAGGAACTAGTTTAGAGGGAGAGTTGAAATTGGGGCTTGAACAGTGGCTCCTGCAGCGCAGGCGAGCATCTAATGTACACAAAAGCCAGCCCTCTGAGCTCTGTGCAAAACCATACATTGAAAAACATCCTCGTGCATCCGGAGATCAGAGCTGCAACAGGGCGTGCCAAAAAAAGCCTGGGCCTCTGGGCAGAGGCAGTGCAACATACACCGAGGGTCAAGACTGTTTCTGTTTCAAAACGTTTTACAACAGAAAACGAGTTTCTATTGGACAAATTCCGGTAAATCCAGCCCCGTTTCGTTTGCTTCCGTTGGGTTCTTAAACGATTTCATTTGCAAGACGTAATGAATACAGCCCTGCTGCTCAGGGCAATAGGCAAAGAGAGGAATTAAGTCACTTTGGAGTTGGACTGAGATGCACCCTTACATTCCGTTTGTTTTCCTCTGGATTTGGAGAGTAGCCTAGCCAGGAACCCAACCTGATGTAACGGTTAATGGATTCCAGGCTACTTGGAGAGAGAACTGATCAGAACAGATATAGCCTAAACATAAAGTGGATAGACTATGGTAAACTACCTTGGTGGATCTGTGACTGGTACACGCTCCTCCTGTTCTTCTTCCTCGGACTCGTAATCTATTCTTCTCCTCCTCCTCAGTGGCGATGTATCTCCGACCATAGATTCGAACATGTATGGCTGGATTGGCCCATTATGCAGGTAATCTGCAAATTCTTCCCAGGATGACGAATCTCCATCATCTGTGTAGCTGTCAGTGTCTGTTAAATCTTCATCCGCCGAGACATCACCGTTTACTAAATTGCGGTCCTTGTCTGTCATGTTTCCACGTGCGAATTCAGCTAGCCAGCTAACTTTATGATGATTTGAACTTAAGTGGAAACTGGCCAGCTAGATAGCTAGCGTTACGTACTTAGGAAGAAAACTAAAGAGACATTTTGCAGATAGCCACCTCTTCAGACTCAAACCAGTTTACATTTACAAATAATTTGACGTTACTCAGAAAGGCAGGGGGAAAACACACACCTGAAAAGGAGTGCATCTCTACTCAAAAGTTTCAGGTCTTCCTCTGCTTGTATCCTTTCACCTACACCAAAGTGGCTGGTCGACCACAACCTCAAAAACTTGTCAGGGGAGGGCACACATCCGCGCTGTCTGGGAGGCGGGAACTGTAGCAGATGCTAACAGCCAATGAAATCAAACAACCGGACGGGAGCCACGAATCTGCGCAGGTGCTGGACTGGTGCTGGTTTGAGGGGGTTCGATTAATCTCGCCCGGACGCCCGTGGTGGCGTGTTTTGCACCGGCTGAATGTTGATCGCATTCGATTTGGGGGCGTGAGCCAGGTGCACCGCTCTGTCTGATGGAGAAGTCGGCTCAAAACAAAAGTGACGTAGTTAAGCACGTGTAGTAATTAGTTGGATGTGTTTTCCCATGCAAAAGTGATTGCTTTTGATACAAACGCTTTATCTGCATTCCTAATGAAAACTAGTTTGAAAAATTCAAACATTTATTTTATGTAAAATATATTTTGTATATTTCTGGATGATGCACCATGTTTTGCAACATAAACTGTTTACTCTAAACTGAAAAAACGGTAAACAGTTTCCGTTGACATAATGAATACACCCAAGGTGTAATCCAGTTGGTGCTGGTATGTTTGTTTGTACTGCTTTGGTTCAGTGGAGGCTCCTCAGAGGAGGAAGGGGAGGACCGTCCTCCTCAGTGAATTTCATAAAAATAGTGAAACATTTAAAAAGTTATCCTTTTCAGATTGAACTATACTAAATATATTCACATGTCACCAAATAATTGATTAAAACACACTGTTTTGCAATGAAGGTCTACAGTAGCCTCAACAGCACTCTGTAGGGTAGCACCATGGTGTAGCCGGAGGACAGCTAGCTTCCGTCCTCCTCTGGGTACATTGACTTCAATACAAAACATAAGAGGGTCATGGTTATCACCCCCTTCCATAGACTTACACAGTAATTATGCTAGGTTGGAGGACATCCTCCAGAAGCTATCAGAGCTCTTGCAGCATGAACTGACATGTTTTCCACCCAATCAAAGGGTCAGAGAATGAATCTAGTACTGAAAACATAAACTACAGCTAGCTAGCACTGCAGTGCAAAAAAATGTGGTGAGTAGTTGACTCAAAGAGAGAGAAAAACAATAGTTAATTTCTTCAAAAATTAAGGATAAGCAAGAGAGAAATGCAGCTAGCTAGTTTAGCCTACTCAAACACCCAGCTCAAACAGAGAGGGATGCTATGTTAGTTAGCTGGCTATGACTATCCAACACTGGAACTCTTCCAAGTCAAGGTAAGCTTTTGGTTTTACTAATTTATTGCCACCGGGGCCTGCCGGTGTAACTGCTAAACTGCTTACTGCTTACTGTACTGCATGATTGTAGCGGGTTTACTAACGCGTTAGTTCTATTACCTTTGTTGACTATGACATTACTTTAGCTAATATGGTGACAATGATGTAGGCTGTGTGTAGCGGTTATGATATGGTTTGGCTTGGAAAGTTTTTTTCACCTGGTCACAGAAAGCTGATGTGTTGTGTATTGAAGTCCACAAGCGAAGGGAAAAGGTGAGAGGAGGTGGCTGCTATGAAATTGAACTGTGTTTAAGTGTGATCAGGGGTGTATTCATTCCACCGATTCTGTTGCAAAACATTTCTTAAACAGAAGCAAACAGAATGAAACGGGGATAAACATACCTGAATTTGTCCCCTTAGAAACTCTTGGTTGCAACTGTTGGACTAATAATTACACTCTAGATCAGCTAGACGCAGGCAAGCATGTGAAAGGCGGTATTGAATGTGTCACTGTCTGTCCATGTGTCACTGTCACTTAAACATTTTCTCTCGACCTCTGTGCACCTACATTGTAAACTTTCTTTCATAGGCTAGGTTGTAGCAACCTCATGATGGGTATAGGGAAAATTCAAGTATCATGTAGTAGCCTAAACCTATTGATGTTACATTGAACTGGGTGAATGGAATATGAATGAGAGTCATCCTATATGCTGTAATAAAAAAATAGTTGTCCTCCCTCATCTTAAACGGCAAAGACCGCCACTGCTTTGGTTGTAATGGCTGTTACAATATTTCATTAGGACAATAAAAGGGATCACCACCACACAAACTCAACCAGATCTGATTGGGCGGCAGGTAGCTTAGTGGGTAAGAGCGTTGTGCCAGTAACCGAAAGGTCGCTGGTTCTAATCCCCGAGCCGACTAGGTGAAAAATCTGTCGATGTGACCTTAAGCAAGGCACTTAATTGCTCTTGTAAATCGCTCTGGATAAGAGCGTCTGCTAAATGACTTAAATGTAAATCTGCAAGCGTCCTAGCCCTAGATTGTCCAGCAGGGGGCGTTAGAAACATTCCCTTTGACAGTCTATGATTCCCACACGCAAATACACCATAATAAGAGCAACAGTAAGGTGCCCGTGGCACCTTAATTAGGGAGGACATACTCATAGTAATGGCTGGAATGGAATCAATGGAATGGTATCGAACACATGTTTTCCATGTGTTTGATATCAATCAATTTACTCCATTCCAGCCATTATTATGAGCCTTCCTCCCCTCAGCAGCCTCCTGTGATATTGTTGTATAATTTTATAAGATGTGTCATTTTCCTCTTCTAACAAGGTAAAAGATGAGCTCACAGCTTTTAATGAATTCTTTTGGATGAATAAATCATCATATGATGGTATGGACATCAATATTTAAGCATTTAGCCTACCCACTGGGCACA